TAAAACTTGAGTTAAATTACCGAAAGTTGGTTAAACAGAATATCGTTTACGTAAAAAAGCTTACCTTTGCTTGTTCGTTTCGGCCATCATGCAGAAAAATGCACAAAAACCAGATGTTGTCAGCACAACGCCAAATCACTCAAACTGGCGTTGTCGGGAGAACGCCAACGTCCAGACAACGTATATTCGTGACTTAATTATGATAATTATGTAAAATTATGCAAGTCCCAGGTCGCCGTCGCCACTTCCCGTCGCGTTCCCAAACTCTCTAATGTTGGATCGACGAAAACCTGATGTCTGGTTGCGAGGCGCCAACATTGAAACTGGTGGGGGGAGGGAGGGGGAGGTAAATGTATCAGTAAATGGTATATTACAACAGAATGCATGCGAAAACTAGATTGTCCCAACCTATATTGTCAAAGATTGAACATGCCTAATGGAATAAATATATATATATATATATATATATATATATATATATATATATATATATATAACAATTCTACAGTAAAGTAGCTATGTAATGATGTAAAGTTCCCATGGTATGAGTATTGAGTATTTACACGCGTATAATTATTGTACCATATTACCGGATATTTGCCAAAAGCTTGTTGAAGAGGTCTACGACATTGATGTTCCACAAACGTTCAAAACAGTGTGTGTAAAGTGTCATTTGTGTCGTCCCTTGTCCAGTCTTTCTGTCAAACTGTGTTGTCATTAGTTGCTGTTAACCCAGTGGAAATATCACTTTTAATTAAGCATGTGAAATAAATTTCAAATTAAATTCCTTTCTTCGATCCACATGACTAGAATTGCTTAGGACCACATTAAATCAAACGTCTCAGAGATTAGCGATTTTGAAGCGATATATCCACTGTGTTAACCTGTATTTCAGTATTGCATTAGCAGATTTACCGTAAAGGAGCAACTAGCCCTGTGGGTTAAACCGGTCATGTGACAAAGTTTGTAAAATAAATATTGTATTAATAACTTACTGACCGACAGTGAGGGCAACTTGTTTCACAGGGTCTCACCTCCGCCACGCCCCCAAACACCGGCTCCGGCGAGACCCTGTTCGGGTATGGTCACGTGACATCCCAGATTTTGGGATATATCGTAATTTGTCGTTAGGGTGGGTACGTGGGGCAGAGTTATTAATTACAGTCATTTCTAAAAATAATAGAACTTGTCAATTTAGTTAATGATCGCATTTGGCAGTTTTCGAAGTTCTATATTTGAAGTAAAACCAATTACACTACGAAAAAAGTTATATATGATATGGTTCGCGGCATTTAGATCGACCAGTGATTTAGACTCTTGTCGTCGTCTGTTCTTGCTAAATATATGTGATCACTGATCGCAGTGATATTATTAATACATTGCGATTTTTAAAAACCGTCCTTCGTATATATTAATATAGCACAGGTCAAATGTATTTGTCAAAATAAAATGGATACATTTTAGTGTATTTGCTAATAAAGCTTATCAACTATGAACTCTCACCTTTACATACATTGAAAATATGCAGTGCTAACGGTATGTGCGGTTTATATATATATATATATTTTAACAACTTGGGCCTGCCACAATGTTTAGTTTTGTGTAAATATTAAAATGTTCGCGTACTATTATATAATTTTGTTTTGCTATATGCGTCTCAATTCATACAGATGTTTGACAAATTTGCATTGATTCAGTCATTGCCCATTGCCATTGGTATAGTATATAGGTTTTATGTCAATCATGATTCAAAATATTTACATATGTGCATGCTGGCTCTAATGCCTTCAAATTACATGCTTAAATTATTTCTCTGTATGACTGCACATGTCTTTTGTGACCTTATTATCAAAGCATTGACAAAGTTATTTTAGTACAATTAACATAGTTGCATATATATAGCGCAAGAGAAGTCATCCACATGTTGTACTTTGTTGAATTATTGTAAAAGACAAAACCTATATCGGTTTTAACTAAAACTAAGGAGCAATAATAGACAATTCGCGACGGAAAGCAATCATACACGTTCTGGGTTAGGTCATTATTTAATATACACAAGAAACAGTAGAGCTACTAGGGGGCCAACGATAAAGTGTTTATAACGATTCTTCTTCACTACAATTTATAATGACAACAATAGGTTCAATAGCTTTATAGCACAACTCAGGGTTTGACATGCTGTTAAAAAGGAACTTTCAAAATCATTGATGTGTAGATTCCTGATGTGATGCTTTCTCTACTCTTTCAGTTACCTGGTTTCATTACAGTTTGACAGCCTTTATAGTTTAGGAGAAGATAAATATGGTTTAAAATACTCTTTATTTTAAATAATATACATTTGCTATTTTTAGTTACTGTAATAAGTGCTCAATCATGCTACCCCTTGCTACCCCTACTGAGTATAGCACGTGGTCATGACTCACGTGACCACACCATACCAGGGTCTCTCCGGAGCAGGGGGTGAGCGGAGGTGAGACCCTGGGAACGAGGTTGCAGTGAAGGCAGTATACGGGAAAAATGTCCAACCGAGGTCTTGCTGTACTGACCGAGCGTTAGCGAGGCCAATACAGCAAGACCGAAGTTGGATATTTTCCCGTACTCTCCGAACGGTTGAGGTTAGTAAGTTTTACTATATGGCATTGTACGTTTGTAAAAAAATGGGGGGAAAGGTCACGCGAGGGCAAAGTACAAAGTCCGAAACATTTACCAAAAAAACAATTGTAAAAAATGTTCTCTTGGTTCGTAAAACTATTTACAGCACTTTTTATATAGAATACTAACACAGTTTGGATAGTATTTCAAGAAAAATACGAGGCCTAGGATTTCGTCATTTAATCAAAGACAACAAATATGAAAACAATAAAATTAATCAGTGACAGTATGGACAAGTACGTTTTTAGTTCGCTTCATCTCATATTTATATGTCTCTTTTTATCTCACAAAAACAGAAATTCGCGTCTGCTTTAGTTGTATTTTTTATTTATAGGATGGTGTTAAATTCCTCCTGGCTATCTGCAAATAAAATTTGCAGCTCGTCACATAGTCAAAACACAACTATTTCTGTCTGCTTTAATAGTTATAGACATTATAAAATTTACCTTGTAATTTTGACTTTCGCTAACAAAAACGCATGAATAATGTATAATACAGTATATTATATGAATGTTAAACCTGATACAGGGCTGTGTTTACACGTTCTATTTGTGTGAAAAAACGTTCCGCTTTTCATTTCTAGTAATTGAAAGCAAGCAAGTTCTAATGTCTCAATCGCGCTCGAAATTCTTGTTTGTATATAAGAAAATGTTGAATATTAATTACACTGGCTGTAATTGTGGGACGTATTTTATTATATTTCATTGCGCATGCGCTTGAACTTTTCTGTGTTTTTCGATATGATATCGCTGAACTCTATTGGTTTTGTATGGATTTTTATTGTGCCGTCCTCTGAATGGTTGTGATGATGAAGTGACGGCCGTCAAGAAGTGAAGAATATCTACGTGTTTCAAATGATTTTTTAGAGTATTGCGATGTTATTTTACCAACCGCGAGGCCAGTGTGAATGCCTGAGCAGGCGTCTTGTTAAATATGATTTGTCATTAAAATAAACGCGCTGTTAAAGACATTGTTTGCTGCCATTCAAGTGCAAACTTGATCGAATGCTTTGGCACCCAACTGTAGACTACAAGAGTGTTCTTTGTTGAAAGGGGGAAAATTCCTACAAATATATCGAACGACTGGGAATAAAGAATAAAAAATTAATTATCGCTCATAAGCGCCGTTCTGTATTTGGTGAGATAGGACTGCATGGCATTTGCATAATGTGTAGTCCACGAAGTCGATTAAATTTCACATATTTGATCCGGCCTATATATATATATATATATATATATATATATATATATATATATATATATATATATATATATATATATATATATATATACTATGGGACAGTTGATGTAATTTCATATAATTTGAAAGGAATAGCGCCCCCCCGTTCCCCCAGTTCAATGTTGGATCGACGAAAACCTGATGTCTGGTTGCGAGGCGCCAACATTGAAACTGGTGGGGGGAGGGAGGGGGAGGAAAATGTATCAGTAAATGCTATATTACAACAGAATGCATGTGAAAACTAGATTGTCCCAACCTATATTGTCAAAGATTGAAGATGCCTAATGGATTTTGTTGATTGTCGTGCCTTAATTTATATATATATATATATATATATATATATATATATATATATATATATATATATATATATATATATATATATATATATATATATGTTTATATATATATGTTTATATATATATATATATATATATATATATATATATATATATATATATATATATATATATATATAAATTATATCGCTCACTGCTTGCAGTTTGAGCGCTCTGGCATGATTTTGATGTTCCACATTCGTGAGGCATCAAAGGTAACTGTATATATAGCAGTTACTTTCATCCTGCTCATCAGCACTATATGCATATACATATACTTTGTTCCGTATTCTAGTACGCCATATTTGTTCAAACCACAACGACATAATTTTCACGGCTCACGACCACACTAGGGTGTTTTATGTCAATTCATTTAGCATTGATATAGTTCAGGTAATAAAAGCAAGGTAAGTCCTTTTAAAATTTTGGTAATGTATGTGTTAGCTTGAATACAAAAGTATAAGTAATTTTGTTTCATGCCGTCGCCGTTGTTGTTTGTGAAACTCATTAATTGTATGATTGCGTTGGTTCTGCGCTATTGAATAACGCCACACAAACAGATCTGAAACGTCCTTTGTATGTCTATGCCGTCAAGCACTTCGTGCAATGAAGCGCTACAACTACTGCGTCAGGTGAGCACCGCAGCATCATATATACGTTTGCAAGCAGCGTTCTCGGTACACAAACGCTTAGTCTCTTACGAATGTTGGATCTAGGAAACCAGAAGAAATTGGTAAGCTATATACGTTAACTTTCCGTTATTTAAAATAGTACGTAGGTACTTGCTATAGTATATATAATCTTAAACAGGGCTGTGCCACTTGAGGTTGTGTCGATAATAAGAGATATTAATTTGTTGGCTATAGTAACTTCTCGAAGAAGGACTTTCGCTCGAAACGTAGAAGATCTCCTTTTCTATCAGTTGTATCAATCCGCTACCTGCTAATTTAGGGCGCTTTCCATTTAATGGCCTGACCAGTCAGACCAGATTTTTTCTCTGTATCAATGGAAAGATCTGGTGTATGTTTCTCAAATATCTGGCGAAAATGAACCTCATTCTAATTTTATTCAAATATTCCGGTCAGATATGTCCGAAGCCCAAGCGTTTTGTGTTCCATTCAACAATTTGACCGTTCTGACCGGTCTGGCCATGTTCATGGAAAGTACCATAGTATATACTCAGTATACACGTATACAGGGTGTGTAAATAAATTGAACAGATTTATAATTGCTCTCAATTTCGCAAAACAGCTCGCGGTATCAATTTTTGCCATACATAGATTCCTTGAGTAGCCATAATGTGGAATAATGAAAAAAAAAAATACTCGAACTCAAATTTTCTAAACCAGGGGGTGTTTCTTTTCCAACTAACTAAAAATGGCTTACGCACGAAATTTAAGAGGTTTAATTGTATTTTGAGTTAATGGATGGAAAACGTGTGGGCTTTTTTATTACTGTACAAACTTTCAGGTAATTTGCTTCAGTTTAAGGCTTTAATTAACTATTCAGTTTTACATAAAAAAATCAGCCTTTCGCGCATGCTTAACTATTGCTGATATAAGCAAATTAGGCAAAAGCATAATTAAGCATGCAAAAGGCTGATGGTTTAGGAAAAAATGTAAATTTGCGTGAATAGTTAAAGGCTTAAACTGAAGCAAATTGTCTGAAATTTTATGTAGCCATTAAACACCCAACACAATTTCACCTATTAATTCAAAATACGATCAAAGCTTTTAAATCTCGTGCGCAAACCATTTTTAGTTTGTTGGGAAAAAAACACCCCCTATAGTTTACCAAATTTGAGTTCGGGAAATGTTTTTCATTATTCTACATTTAAGTACCCAAAGAAGCTATATATATATATATATATATATATATATATATATATATATATATATATATATATATATATATATATATATATATATATATATATATATATATATATATATATACTATATATATATATATATATATATATATATATATATATATATATATATATATATATATATATATATATATATATATATATATATATATTTGAGAGTAATTTCAAATCTGTTCAGTTATTTCATACACCATGTATGTGTACGAACAGCATATATACAATGAATATTTAAGTGTTCAATATTGAGTATTTACACGCGTATTATACCATACTGAATTTCCTACGAGTGTTGATATTGTGTAGGCTATTACTTAATGCTTCATTTATTTTTCATCAAATACTTGCAAATATGGCGCATTCAAACGAGAATTATGAGAGAGTTGGCATGCAGTCACGTATTTTTACGGGGGACATTTCAAGCTCTAGACTAACAAAATAAAGGTTTCAAGTGTTCCAATTGCTACTCGTTCAAATTGAATTGAAATAAAATACATGACAGTTAAGAAAGCATTAGGAACAGCTATATAGCTGAGTTCATGTGACTGCCAACTCTCACGCATTCTCATCCTCGTTTCATCAAAGCCCGTTCACATGAGACCGGAACGAAGTCACAGTGCGACCATTTCATTTCGGTGATACTATTATTTACACAGAGAATAATACATAGTGCGCGGAAATACCAGACTTATTTCGCGTGTTGAACACGATATCATATTCAACACGAGAAATAAATCTGGTATTTCCAAGCATGCATCCATGTATTTTTCTGTTTATTATTATAAAGGACAGTCTTTGAAAAGCGATACTTTTTAAAGAAAAGCGATGATTGAATAGCATTACTTGATCATAAATAATCTCACATGTGAGATGTTTTATCAGTGCTCGAAATCTGTATAAAGCACTATATACTTTATATAATAAAATAGATGTTTATGATGCACGAGATCGGGATAATTCTGACCGGTCTCAAGTCATTCCGCCTGCTGAACCGAGCCGACTGACTTGAGACAGGCATGAATTCAGACCAGGATGAATGTATCGGCTGTAACCTTGACATTGGCACAACACATGCTAACAAAAGCTATCTAAAAAAGATAATTGCCTGGCAAGGGGAATAAATTGAAAATTTTGTGATTTTCGTAAATGTCTGAATCTTTAAATTTTCATTTCGGTTGACTTCGTCCCGATCTCATGTAAACGGAGTCCAAAGACTCTTTTCTACTCAGCACAAGAGTGAGTACTTTCATCCAATCACAATGCTCGACAGTTTATTTTAATCAGATACAAGCATTGACAGCGAGCTTGCGAGTTGAATTTTGCGATGGTTGCATGCATGGAAAAGATCCTTTAGACCGCATGCATTGCAGCAATTTGTATATGAATCTTTCAATAAACCCGCTGAATAATGTATAATACTTATATATATGAATATTAAACCTGATACAAGGCTGTGTTTATACAGTTGTATTTGTGTGAAGAAACATTCCCCTTTTCATTTCTAGTAATTGAAAGCAAGTAAGTCCTAGTATCTCAATCGCGCCCGAATTTCTTGTTTGTATATAAGAACATTTTGCATGTTAATTAAATAGTTTGTGATTAAAATAAACGCGCTGTTAAATACATTGTTTGCGGCCATTCAAATGTAAACTTCGTGGACTGCTTTGGCACCCAACTGTAGACTACAAGAGTGTTCTTTGTTGAAAGGGGGAAAATTCCTACAAATATATCGTACGACTGGGAATAAAGAATAATAAATTAATTACTCGCTTACAATTAAGCGCCGTTCTGAATTTCGGTGAGATAGGACTGCTACTTATGCATGCATAATATGTAGTCCACGAAGTCGTTTATGCTAAAACCAGTACCCGATTTAGATCTATGACACAAGCTAGATCTATGACTACAAGCTGTTAGGGTTTAGGAGTTCAGACGCGGCCAGGCCTCACCTCTTACTAGGCCTACTAATTCTAGCTTGCTAACACGCAGAAGAGCATTTTTAAGCCTGTTTCTGTAATTGTACTTCGCTGCGTGAGTTTGTTAGTCTTAATAATTAGTTTGTTAGCTAGTCTGTTAGTCTGTTAATAGTTTCTTAATTCGGAATCCTAAGCCTTGCCTTTGGTATTAATTCAAAAATAATACGTCTTTCTATACATAGTAAACTCAGATCACTATAGCTGTAGCACTATACATAAGGCTGCGGGTTGATAAGAATACAACTATGTCTAAAAATTACAACCAGAACCTATAACTAAAGTATCAAGCGAAGTCCCTTCGTCCTGAAGTTATGGCACAGATCGTTCGATGCTGATTTCTGGTTTTATTGATTTTGTACTTGTATCGTGTAGTATGCATGTGGTTGATATATTTGTAGGAATTTCTCATAATATTCATGCAAAATCACTATTAATATTGGTCTGGTGCCAAAGCTCAGTGTGAGTTTAATCAAAGTCCGACGAGTTTTACTTTCCGAGTGTATATATTGCATTTGAATGATCGGCGAACAGTACTGCGGTTATTTTAATAACAACCGCATTATCCTTTTCAAATCATGGGAGTTTGGAAAGAATATATCAATGCTTCTGCGGGTTTTGCCTTTATTCACATTGACCTGGCACGGTTCCAAATGCTGGTATACCTGAGTGGAATACTGAGAGAGTAAAGAAACAATGTATTTGTACCAAACAATTACAAATATACGTTTACAATATAATGGCTTTATTAAAATTTCTATATTACACGAATACGTGGCATGCACGTGTAACTAGATATAGCTAAACGAGACTAGTTACCCATGGTCAGAAATGTTCAATTTATTGGCTGATGATATTAAATGATCAATCATGTTAGTAGACAAACACGATTATTTAATGTTTGGACTTTTAAAACAATATCATTTGTGGCCAGGGTCGTGCCGATCGATGTGTCTTTGGCAAGATAAACTCAACCCCCTTCCCCCCCCACAAAAAAAAAAAAATATCCGGAGAATGTTGGCGAGCGGGGAGGTAGGCCTAATGGACCAATGCCTTTTCCCTGACGAACAAAATTTTGATCTACACAAATCTAGACAAAAATTTCATCACAGTTTCAAAGAGCATCACAAAATTAGTAAAATTTCGAAGTTTCGTTGCGAAATGTTGTAAAATGTGGATAATATAGGCCCGCAAAGTTTGCCGTTTTTCAGTCATTTGGTATAACGCATGGGAAATTGCAACATCAGCTCATCCTTTGAATTTAATACTATATGAGTAAATTCTTAATAAACACGTCTGAATTTATCATTATGATAAAATCTTCAGAAAAAAGTTTTTAAAAAGTAGTTTAAAAAAGAAAAAAAAGTTTAAAAAGTTAGATATTCAAAAAAGTTTAAAAAAGTTTAAAAAGTTAGGGTTAGGGTTAGGGGTTAGGGGTTAGGGGTTAGGGGTTAGGGGTTAGTGGTTAGGGTTGGGGTTGGGGTTAGTGTTAGGCGTTAGGTGCCGCGAATTTATTATTATGATAAATTATCATAATGGTAAATTCGGAGGTGTTTAAGAATTTACTCATATAGTAAATTCAAAGGTGGAGCTCATGCTGGGAAATTGATACCTTTTTTCCAACATGAGCTCCACCTTTGAATTTACTATATGAGTAAATTCTTAAACACGTCCGAATTTATCATTATGATAAATTCGCGGCACATTTTGAATTTATCAATAGAGTTAATCATAAAACCACAATCATTGCACAAGGTTTCTTGTTATAAGTGTAATGGCACTAAAAGGGAGGCTGGTCGCGCAGGGGTAGGGATTTTTTCATGTTTTTTAGGTTTTTTAGAAAAATAGTTTTTAAAAAAGTTTTAAAAAGTTTTAAAAGAGTTTTGAAAAGCAAGAAAAGTTTAAAAAGTTAGATTTTTAAAAAAGTTAAAAAAATTTAAAAAGTTAAAAAAATTTAAAAAGTTTAAAAAATGAGGGTTAGGGGTTAGTGGTTAGGGGTTAGGGGTTAGGGGTTAGGGTTAGGGGTTAGGGGTTAGTGGTTTGGGTTGGGGTTGGGGTTAGGGTTAGTGTTAGGTGCCGCGAATTTATTATTATGATAAATTCAAAATTTGCCGCGAATTTATCATAATGATAGTTTCGGACGTGTTTAAGAATTTACTCATATAGTAAATTCAAAGGTGGAGCTCGTGCTGCTTTTTTCGCAACGAAACTTCGCAACGACACTTCGCATTATTTGCTATTATATACAAATGTTTGACGTCAAACATATACTTATTGACATTCGCCTATATATATATATATATATATATATATAGATAGATATAGATATAGATATAGATATATATATATATATATATATATATATATATATATATATATATATATATATATATATATATATATATATATATATATATATAGGGTGTATCAAAAAAACTGAACAGATTTGAAATTGCTCTCAATTTCGCAAAACACCTATTTGTAGCCGGTTTTTTATATATAGAGCTTCTTTGGGTACTTATAATGTAGAATGAAAAATATTTCTCGAACTGAAATTTTGTGAACCAGGGGTGTGTGTCTTTTCCGACAAACTAAAAATGGCTCGCGCACAAAATTTAAAAGTTGTAATCATATTTTGAGTTAATAGATGGAACATTTGTCGGATTTTTAATTACTGTACAAAATTTCAGACAATTTGGTTTAGTTTAAGCCCTTTAACTATTCACGCAAAGTTACAATTTTCCCGAAAAATCAGCTATTTGCATGCTTAATTAATGCATTTGCCTAATTTGCATATGTCAGCAATATGCAAATTAGGTAAAGGCATTAATTAAGCATGCGAAAGGCTGACTTTTTAGAACAAAATGAATAGTTAAAGGGCTTAAACTACACAAAATTGTCTGAAATTTTGTACAGTAATTAAAAACCCGACATATTTTCCATCGTTTAACTCAAAATATGATTACATCTTTTAAATTTTGTGTGCGAGCCATTTTTATTTTGTTGGAAAAGACACACACCCCTGGTCCACAAAATTTGAGTTTGAGAATTTTTTGGTCCACAAAATTTGAGTTTGAGAAATTTTTTTCATTATTCTACATTATAAGTACCCAAAGAAGCTATATATATAAAAAACCGGATACAAATAGGTGTTTTGCGAAATTGAGAGCAATTTCAAATCTGTTCAGTTTTTTTTTATACACCCTGTATATATATATATATATATATATATTTATAAGATGTTGTCTGCCGCGGCTGGGTCTTGAACCCGCGACCTTCGAATTATACTAGATCGACGCTCTACCAACTGAGTTACGTCAGACGGATTTAAGACTGGAAATTATGAAATATATACTGAATGTCATAAACATACTCGTTTATATTAATTCAGCATCGAACAATACTAGTTCTGCAAGTGTTATGTTAAGTTGTGTAATTGTACACTCCGTAATATGTTATTTCCAGTCTTAAATCCGTCTGGCCGTGTAGTTCAGTTGGTAGAGCGTCGATCTAGTAATTCGGTATTGGGTTCAAGTCCCAGCCGCGGCAGACAACATTTTCTGCTTGCGCTGTGTATGGAAATTATATAATACACACACTAAAACGTTTTCATCTTAATATATATATATATATATATATATATATATATATATATATATATATATATATATATATATATATATATATATATATATATATATATAGATAGATATATATAACTACAGACGGTACGTCGCTGTTGTTTCGGTATTAATTTTTTAAAAAACTTGTATTTAAACTAATTTCTATGTAATAAATGTATTTTTCTAACCTGTCAAATTTTTTTGAGAGTTTTTCCTTGCACTGTTATCTTTCTCAAAGCGAATATTTTCTTTTTTTCTGCTTCGCAAAACTCGTGTAGTTTTTGGACCGCCATCTTGTTTTTCGCTACTCGCCGTATATGAGCTGATATACGGCGAGTAATTCAACCAATCAGATTGCAGAACAGCTCATATACGGTGAATGACTATATTATAAATATATATATATTATAAATATATATATATTATAAATATATATATATATATATATATATATATATATATATATATATATATATATATATATATATATATATATATATATATATATATATATATATATATATATATATATATAGGTATGTACACACAAATACACCAGTAGGTTTTTGTATACGAAACGCAAAGAGAATGCTCAATACCATAAATAAAGTTATTAATAAGTTAGTCTTGTATTATATGATTATATGTTTCTTTAATAAATAGAATTTATTAATTATATAAAACATGATATATTTCTCACTTAATATAGACTGACAAAATGTGGAAAGTTTATCTGGTGCCGTTAATGTCAGTCGCAATCGTCTTTGTTGAAGCGAATACAGGTACGCATTGTTAAAGAAAGGCGATTGGCTTGTATACAGTTTGAAGATTACAGAGAAATATCAGTGGTCATGGCATGCTAATAAACCTGTATCTATAGAAATAGGTTAAAGACAATTTAACATTTCTAAAAGTTTGAATAATGCAAACATTAAAATTTGCATAGCATGACCAGTTGCTCTGTTGCTATGACTCACGTTGCCACTACAAAGTATGGTACACTATTACAACTCAGGCAGACAGATATTTACGATTTGTATAACACTGCTTCGTACCCAAGGCGTCTCCAGATCATTACACGTGTAAAAATGTTCATGTATGTGTTTCAGAATTCCTCTTATCAAGTTCACCCAATCTAATCTTTGTAATTTAGTCTCATCATCTCTAGGCCACATTGTTCCGCCGCCTGTGGTGGAAGCTAACATTTTCTTGCACACAGAGACATAGATGTAGGCATAAGGGAAATGGAGGGTTCGGACCTCTCCACCCACTGATCTTCAAGGCAAATGTTGTAATTATTTCAATACGCTGGAGGAGTGTTTTGGGACGTAACCTTTTCATTTTTATTTTATCTATGAAATATACTAACTCTTTGGCTTTCAGATTATCAGGGTCCGAGGGAATATGCCCCTAGTAAGTTGGACAATAAGACCCCCCCCCCCTCCCACCTCGCGTTTTGGGCTAGCTACTTCGCTGCTTCTCTTCAAAACCATCACTGTTTTGTTTTGCTTAGACACTTTCTTTCTTTTCCAGGTTGTACCAGCACAGAGGAAGGTGACTGTTGTGTATTTCCATTTAAGTACAACAGCGATAGTTACAACTCGTGTTCATTTATTGGCTCGTTGAATGGGAAACCATGGTGTTCATTAACTTCAGATTATGATAAGGACAAAAAATATGGTTATTGCTCGTTGAAAAGTAAGTCTATGTCAAAATTGTTAATAACGTTTTTTGTCATTGTTGCTGGCTAAATTAACCAGGATTCTTTGTTAATTATAAACAACTTGGATGTTAGACTAATTTTTGATCTATGCGAAAAAGTAAATTCCCGTCAAGAACTTATTAAAATTAGTAAAATTGCAAAGTTTGGTTACGAAACGCTGTAAAATACCGAAAATATAGCCTTGCGAATTTTGCAAATTTTGTTTATGTGTGTATTCCCGTGCAGAAATTGTTACCATTTTTGAGCCGAAGATGGTAACAATTTCTGCAATTAACACAAACATGTACAACATTTTCAAACTTTGCAAGACTATAATTTACAAGCTTTACAACATTTTGGAACCAAATTTTGCAATTTTACTAATTTCATTATGTTCTTTGTAGCTGTGGTGTTTGATTCCTTTCTCTTTACTTTGATACAAATTTATCCTAAATCCATGTTGTCCATTAACCAGTTTTTAGTAGTTAAATTAATTAATTGGATTTTGTTAGGTGGACTACTAACCAATAATTTCTTGCTTAATAATCCACCTAATATAATGTGGTTAATTCAACCATATAGCCAAATAAACTAACCAAGAATCCTGGTTAAATTAGGCAGGACCATGATCAAATTAACCAGGATTGTGGTTAAATGAACCAGAGCATTTGAAAATGAAAATATCGGAATTTTTTATAGTGTCCAATGTTTCATTAATGAAAGTGGTCGATTTGCTCTTGTAAAGCCTTGATGAACGATTATTATTTTATCTATTTATAATGAACTGATTTGCAAATGCTAGTTTAATAAAGTACCGTATTTGTAAAAATCGTTGAGTGTCTGTTTTATGTTTTATGTAACATTGTAACGTTGTAAAGTTGTAATAGTAAGCTAGCCCTCTAGATGAGCATTATACGCTCTTAGGGCAAACTATATTCATCATTAAATATTTATTAAATCAAATTAACCTGCAGGATTATGGTTAAATTGAACAGGAAATATAACCAGGAACATTAAGTTACCCCAAACAGGGTTAATTTTAGATTTTCATGCCGGAAATGTTTAGCCAGCGTGTTTTTTAGAGTGCATCTCACAAAATACTGTCCATCTTCTTATTTCTAGCTTGCGAAGTTAAAACTACCGACGGAGATTGTTGTGTGTTTCCTTTCACCTATGGCAGCGTTACCTACTACGCATGTACTAAGACGTTCGATTCAGTAGCTTGGTGTGGCACAAAATCTGATGTCGAATTTTGGAGCCGCCAACCACGAGGGAATTGTCAATCCTACGGTAAATTATCGTATTTTTCTTAAGCCAGGTTTCTATGTGGTCGTAACTGTCGTAAAGATTGAATCACGATCTTTCTCAACAGGCGAAATACAACCATTTAGAACTGAAAATAGGCAACATGATTATAAATTGTGATCCGCGAGCGTGCGAGGGTACTAATTCCGCCCGGCTATTTACACCCCTGAAAACGGAAGCATTAGCGAAATCCAAAGTAGTGGACTCCTGGTGTATGGGTAGACCTCTTCAATGATCTCAAAAATATGGTGGATTGCCAGGTATATGGAATAAGCAAGAATTCAATATTGAAAGACAAATATTTGGAAAACCCTTTCTTATACAACAGCTTTAAAGCAAATTTTTGTTTGAAGAAGTGAGAATAATTTATTTACTATGGGATATTGTGTAATATAAGGCACGTTTGTTTTGAATGATGAATGTTTATGTATTTTGTTGTTTTAACTTTTTGCCAAAAGTAAAACATAAACTGCTTTCCGCAAGTTTCCTAAATTACCGTGCTTAATTAAAAAAAAAAACCTTGTAAAGGAGGTAAAGTAGATTTGAATACGGAACTGAAATTACCTGACAATTTGAACTTAATATTACGTTTTATTATGTAAGTAAAAACAGTTTAACGGCAAATACAGTTTAGTTGAATGAACATCTCAAAACATTTTACGAAGAATTTCAAGTTAACTTTTACATTAAATCAACGCTCGCAAAATGCAAACGAACAAACATACAGAATATATTAACGAATCTTTCAAATATTTTGCCGTTTTGTACAAAAAATAGTTAAAAATTGAAAAATATAATGTTGCCATTGCAACACTTGAACACGAGGCTACGTTCAGTGTTGGCCATTTCTAAATACTTCATGTTAATTCAATGTTTGGAAAATATAGACGAGGGGCTGCTGCATGCATGTATTTCTAGTTTATATGTGGTTTACATCATATAAAAAACTTTTATTTTCCGGCCGTTGAGAAAGATGGTCACTCTATTTGACGACCGTCACGACCATATAGAAACCAGGCTTATTGAAGCCGGTTAATTATGCCTTGGTTTTAAGCAGGAGCTCTTGTACGAATTCGTTAGTTGTGTGAATGGGGATATGGAGGAGGGTGTATGAAGGAACATGCTTGAACAAGGAATTGCAAAAGTGTGAACCTTCAGAAGTGGGTCAACCGCTTATTTCCAATTTCGAAACTGGCACTTCCATTTATGTCGGCATTCAACCACTTGTTAATGCGCAACATGAAACCTTACTCGCTGCTTGGTTACTATTATATGGACATTATCAACATGAAATGCGCGTACGTGTCTAAAGTGCAACAAATAGAACTTCTTAGACCCTAAAGGAAGAAAGATTTTCTTGGGGGATTATGCCAACAGATGATCGTACACTATAGTTGTTCTGTGTATTCGAGCCCCTTCCTCTTATGTGGGGCCCACGCCTCTAATTTAAATATATTATGCCCCGAACAACTACTTTAAACTGAGACTTTAAAATTTGCCTAATATTTTGTCGCTTCTTGCAGCATTCTCAGAGCATTAGGAAGAACATATATGCTAAACATCAGTATCATTATGGGACATGGTTATTAGAGAGAACATAGTTAGATGCAACATTAGTTTTACGAGATGTTTAGTATAGTTTTCTCAATTAAGTTTTCTCTCTCTTCTCTTTTCAGTTAACCCATGTTTCTACAACCCTTGTGAAAACAATGGCACATGTCAAAGTAATAAAAATCAATTTACCTGCAAATGTACCGAAGGTTGGAAAGGAAAAACGTGTTCGCAAAGAGGTTAGGGCTTATTTAGAGAGCAATAGGTGAAGGTTCGGTTATTTATCTCATACCTAGCGTATTAGCGGCTTTCCTATTGGCTACGAGGAGGTGCGTTCAATCTCGAACTCATACTGCTGACGTAAGTTTAGGAGGTGGGTTCGACATCGATGTTTCAGCGGCGGCCATTATGAAGCGATTTGAACGATTTGAACAAATTTCCGACGAAGATGTAAATACAAAATAAATTAACTGTTTTTAATTGTTTTATAACTATTATTTTTTTTTCTTTGTTTAATGAAAATGGAATATTAATTCTGTATTCAAAGTGGAAGAGAAGAAAGATAGCCGCCGAAATTTGTTCGGCACCGGCAGGTTTTTTAAATCTTGGCAATGTTTTCGCAGAATGTGTACATTTTCTCTTTTCAAGAATAAGGGAATATTGTATAGAATTGTTTTAGCTCCAATGTAAGCCTAAGTTTGTTTGTTTTCGAAGTATTTTGGCGACTAAAATGTTCGTTATCCAAACAGGAAATTATATAGAAACATTCGTAAAATCTTCAGTGCTTTTTATCGAAATGGCATGTGATAAAAACCAAACATACTTGCAGGTTCGGTGAGTCCGGGATTGGACGCACCTCGGGTGGCTGGAAGTCACCCTCGCTGCGTCCAATCCCGGACTCACCTCCCTGCAAGTATGTTTGTTATAGGGTAGGTTTCGTCCGGGGCCTTGACGAATGGGGGGCACCCCCCTCCCCTCCCTCAAAGTGTTAAAAAGTTGGCCAAACAAGATATGCTGTTGGTCATTGTACCGCTGTTTAGTCTTTGTTGGAATAAAGGAAATATTATTGTGGTCGTTGCTCCACATTTGATTAACAAGTTTTCCAACTCAAGCTCGACAACAATAATATTGCTTTTCACGTGCAGCTAAAGTATTCTGTAATAAAACTATACTTTTGCTTTTAAGTATTTATTTTAGATAAAGGTTACGGTCTTTTCGCTTACAAGTCCACAAATTCGCGATAACGAGGAACAACAACAAAAATGTCGCCGTTAGTCAGTCGGATAAATTGTGCGCCGCTAAAATGTTCGAAAGTTAAACGTATAAATTACGCTGTTTACAACACTCCCGCGGTTGATCATCTATAAGGGACCGGTCATTAATTACAGGGAGGGGGTGGGGGGTTGGTGGAAATGAAAAATTAAATGCTAAAATTTTGTTGCGCCCCCCCCCTTGAGGACAACACAATTATACTTGATTCCCAACATGCAAGTAACAAAAGGCACATTCGTAATTTAAAATTTTATAAAGTAGCCACACATTTAATCACACTACCCTAAACATATAGTTGCGAACTTTGGGAAAAACGTCCGTGATATTTTGCTTTTAAGATCAGGCGCCGAGCGAAAAAATATTGAAAATATGGAGTCTCTAGATCGTTGGAAATGGCATTTTCAGAGTCTGCTATACCTTATACATACAACTTTTGGTAGCTTTTATATAGATAAACAAAACCATATTGTTGAATACTCACGAGTACGAGGTTGCATGAAGTGAAGTTTTGATTATCTCTTTTTGGCTTAATTATTAATGGTGGGATTTTTTAAGAAGAGAAAAGTTTTATGTTAAATTTGACGCGAATGAAGTCACTCTTAATATTTAAAATGTGCAACAAAGCCAACATATATCTAAGAATCCGTGAGATATTAACAAGCTGTGAGCTCACTGTGAGGTTTTTGTAATATTCGAGATGCTCATGGTGGATCCGTGAGAGTTGGCAACTATTCCCTAGTATATATTTATATATTCTTTACCATTTATTGAGTCAACGGCTGTTCCAATGTACATGTTTATGTTGAAAACAGTTTAATAAATGGTGTTGTGTTGGAGTTTACTACAGTAATAATGTTCTACTGCTCTCTATTTTTTATCTGTAGGTTTTATAGTACGACGAGGTGATGTGGGGCAGATATTAATATTGCACAAAAATTCCCCCTTTTTTCGTTCACAAAAATATCTGAACCTCTCTGTTTCCACAAGCCCTTCCCCTGTAATTATTGACCGGTCCCTAAATGATCAAAGATATAAAGAAATTAAAGTCCACTAAATAGTATATGTTTTGTATAGCTCATCTCTAAAACGGTCTGCAGCTATAGCTACATTTCTTCTTGGTTTTACACATTCCGTTTCTTCTTCATATATCAACGCTGTTAACTGTTGGTTGATTACATTCGGGTTCTGGTAACTGCGCTCTGACTTCAAGTGGGATGAGATGCTGTATCGGTCTTCATAGCATTACTTTCTTTCCACCGTCTCCTTGAACCTTTACTCTCGCCGCTCGTATAATTCCATCCTTGCTTGGAATGAGTTCTTCCACCTTTCCGAACTTCCAAAATACACGTCGTTTGGTACTGTCATTTCTGGGTATAACAATATCAGCAATCTTAATCTTAATCGTTTCCTTTGACGGTTTTGCGGAGAATTTCGCCGACTCTCGAAGACTGAGTAAATATTAATTTCTCCACTGTTTAGTGAACTGTTCAAGCATTCGCTGCTGGTGCTTCGCTCTTTTCGTTAGGATTTTGATAGTGCTGACTACTTCGTAATGTCGGTGACTCAAATGAGACGAAATTTGACGTCCATAAATTAGATGTGACGGTGCGAGAGCATACGATACTCCTTCTTCGCCATCATAGATGAATGTTAATGGACGATTATTGATGGTAGTTTCAATTTCAACGAGCAGGGTTCTGAGTTCTCCGAGGTCACAGAGCCATCTTCGATCGAGTTTTCAAACAACGCTTTACGCTGCGTACCATTCTCTCATGAAACCCGCCGTGCCAAGGAGCCTTTTCGGTTATATACGTCCACACGACATCTCTGTTGATGAAATATCTTTTGGTTTTCTTTGTTTTGTATATAATCGTTACTTCTCGTGAAGCTGCTTTAAAGGTCTTGGCGTTATCTGTAAATATCGTACTTGGTAAACCTCTCCGACTCGTAAATCTTCGGAATGCTTGAAAGAATGTTGGGAGCGACAGATTCTCTAAATGAACTCCGATCCTCTCGTTGATGCGCAAGTGAAAAGAGCAATATAAACCTTTTCTGAATCTTTTCTATCGGATTTACGCGGTATTTTCACGTACAGTGGACCGGCAAAGTCAAGTCCCGTGTTCGTAAATGGTGGTTCTTCACTTACACGCTCAGGTAGCAAAGGGTGCAAACGGTTTGCCTTCCATTCGTTTGCACACGACACACTTCATGAGCACTATTTTAACTGATTCTCGAGCACGTAATATCCAATAATCTTCTCGAATGCAATTTACGGTTTCTTGGATCCCATCGTGATGTACTGTCCTGTGCCTCTCGCAAATTAGTAGGTAGGTATACCAGTGTCTCGATGGAAAAAGGATAGGTTGCCTTCTCACTTCTTGATGAGATGACTGCTGGATTCTTCCTTCCCATCTTATGATCCTATGCTCATCCAAATACAACGATAATTGAGTCACAATTATCTGGTTGAATTTATATAACGACTACAGCCAGCCGACGGTATACAGGTGTCCCACAAACCCCCAAAACTATTCAAATAACGTATTGTTAGAATTTGAATGTCCTAGCACAAAGTTGAACGCAAATAAGCGTAAAATATTGACAGGGTGCACATATTAAATATTGACATATTAAGAAATTAAAATATCTTAATGTAAAGTTCACAATTTTCTGCTGTTGGAAATTTAAAGCAACCTGGGAATTTAAAGTCAAGCTTTATGTCAAGCTTTTAGCCTTTTATGCACTTTGGGTTCAGAAGGTGCTGAGGCATTCAAATTCTAACAATACGTTATCTCAATCGTTTTAGGTTTTTGGGGACACCCTGTATGTGAACCAGCATTTACGTTTAAGCCATTTAAAACATTCGCAGTCCGTGCTTTAGAGAGTTTGAGCAAGACAACCGAAGTACGAAGACGAAGCATAGTTGACAATTTTGCCAGTTTGCACATTATCTGGCGCATACTGAGTTGGACGTCACTGGTGGTTGCTCAATGTGTCTTCCCATATGTCGCTATTTATGAATACTGACCTTGATTCTTGGCCTGATCCAGGAAAAACAGCGAGAGATGACACTATATCTCGTTTTTGTTCTTCTGCCTTCGTGCAGGACGAAGTTCACGACGAATTTTGCCAAAATATTCGTTCCGGACGAAGGCAGAAAAACGATCTGGATATGGATTCGTATCTCACTGTTTTGTCCTGATAAGGGTGAGGACTTGGGTCAGCATTCATAAACAACTAGGCATGAATCTCTAATCTGAATCTCTAAACGTCATAAACACGCCTCAAATAAGTGATCGGATGCCATGGCAACGATGAGATTTTTAAACAATAAAGAAATAATAGAATATTTCTATAGTGAGTATTATGTAATGGCCAATTGTTGTTGTTTTTTTTCATTTAGTGAATCCTTGTAAAATTTCTCCTTTCCAAAATGGTGGAGAATGTTTCAGTGAGCTGGAGACAAGTGATTTCTATTGCAAGTGTCCACAGGAATATAAAGGAACCGTTTGTGAAAAGAGAGGTAAAATAAACATTCAGAAAAAATGTTAGACAAAACCATAGTCCGGACCAATTTTTTTAATTCTTTCAAACTGATCGAGGAGAAACTACGGGGCCACACATAAAATATACCAATCCATGGCTTTCAGATAATCATAAAACGTGCATGAAATGCACGAAATAGTATTTTTCAGACCTTAAACATAGGAAAATCTTCCGTGGGACCATGCGCCTACCACTCGATCTATATATGCAATCGGCGAGTTGGGTTATATATTTAAATTGTTTGAATAATTAATATATAGCGGTAGTTAATATGTAGTGCTGGACGTCAACCAACCAAAAGGTCCAAAATGTCCATGAAATAGTAATTTTGAAAGCTTTATATGATCTTAATGAAAAAGGAGCACAATTCTCCAATACAAATAAAGGAGAAAGTTTCAATCAAGAGAGTTTGTCGCAGCCTTACAACTTTCGTCCTCTGAAAGAAAGGAAACAAAATCTAGTGGGAACGAAAAACTATCGCCTATATTTCACGCAACAGTACAAATATACCAAAAGAAGTTTCGGATTTAGAGAAGAAAAAATAGTTTGAATTTATAAGTGTAATTTCTTCTAGTTTATCCATTTGATAGTTCTCCTTGTGATAATAACGGAACTTGTGAGAATATTGAAAACAGTTTCAAGTGTACTTGTACAGAACAGTATCAAGGTGATCATTGTGAGACAACAGGTTTGTTGCAGACTATTAATTACTTAATGCGATTCTTTATTTATCTTCAGTTGTTGTTTTCTTGCTGTGTGCTGTTTTTGTTCTCATTTATTTATGTTCTTGCCCTCATCTTTCTTGTTATTGTTGTTATCCTTGTTGTCGCCGTCGTCGGCACATGTTTGTGTCTTTGTTGTTGCAGTTGTCGCTGTTACTGTTGTTGCCGCCATTGTTGTTTTTGTTTGTGTTGTTGTGGCGTTGTTGTTAAGGGCATCTTTGTTGCAGGTGTTTCGTGTGCGAAACGTTCATAAACTTATCGCTGTTGTTTTTGTTTTCCGTTAACTGATCTCTCTATATTGTTGTTGTTAATCCTATTGATGTTAATGACGCTGGTGCCATCGACAAATTGAGTGTGGCCTTTAAAACTTGTGGTTTATTAATATACATGAATTAACCAAAATAACCAGAAAATTATGTTGTTTCAGTCGATCCGTGTGAAAATAATCCATGTTTGAATGGCGGAAAATGTTTGAGTGACTTGTCAAAATTTACTACCTCATGCAGTTGTCCAGAGGGATATGAAGGGGACACCTGTCAAAACAGAGGTAAGGATAAACATAAAAATACGGTTAACACTAACAATTTTGTCCGCGATTTTGTGTTTCTAAAGGATGTAAATGAGTGAACTCGGAGACAAAAATATAGAGTAGCTTCTCAGAAGTAAACAATCCTAAGTCTTTTGCATGTCATTCATTCGATCACATTTGCCAGGAGGAGAAAAATCGCCGACAGAATTGCTAGTGTGGATCAGGCTTAAGAATACTTGCAGGCAACAGCCGTTTGCTTTTCTAACCAACAACTTATACACCAAGCATTTTCTAATTAGGCTGACCACTGGTTGTGTGAAGGCTCGTACCAAGCGGTATGAGTCAGGTAACTGCATGAGATGTAATCACTTAAAATACATAGTTTGACGGGTTTTTTTGGCTCCTAAATTATATAGTTATTTGTTCACTAATCTTTCAGAAGTTTCACTTTTCCTTAAGTTAGCAACTGAATCGGAGATCCTGGACATAGCTTCCAGTTATCAGTCAGGAAAGGCTGTAGGTTTTGATAAAATTCCTATGTCGATAATAAAACAATCAATAAATGTAATTTCTCAACCATTGACTCACATTATTAATCTGTCCATAACTCATGGAATTGTACCCGATGAGATGAAAATTGCTCGGGTAATTCCTCTTTTCAAAGCTGAAGATCGAGATGTTTTCACAAACTACAGACCAGTCTCTATACTTCCTAGTTTCTCCAAATTCATAAAAAGAATTATTTATAACCGTTTTTTGGAATACTTTAATAAATATAATATATTATCTGATAAGCAGTACGGTTTTCGGAAAAATCATTCAAAATTCCCTTGCTTTAATTAGTAGATTTGTATGATAAGATTTCAACTGCGATTGATCAAAAAGAAATTGCGGTTGGGATTTTTCTAGATTTATCGAAAGCCTTCGACACAGTAGACCACAGCATTCTTTTTGACAAACTAAAACATTACGGAATTCGTGGTTTAGCTTTCGAGTGGGTAAAAAGTTACTTTTCCAATAGACTTCAATTTGTTCAATTCAATGATTGTTTCTCTGCCTCAAAAAATATAAGCTGTGGAGCACCTCAGAGTTCGATACTTAGTCCTTTATTCTTCCTATTATATATGGCATGTAGTAAAACACTGACTACCGGAACACCGGAACACCACCGGAACACCGGAACACCACCATTTTGTTTGGGGTTAGGGTTTGGGGTTAGGGTTAGGGTTGGGGGTTAGGGTTGGGGTTAGGGTTAGGGTTGGGGGTTAGGGTTGGGGTTAGGGTTAGGTGGTGTTCCGGTGGTGTTCCGGCGGTGTTCCGGTGTTCCGGTAGTCAGTGTTTTACTACATGCCCTTATATATTAATGATATTGCTAATGTATCAAAACTTGTAGATTTAATCCTATTTGCCGACGATACGAGCACATTTTTTCACATAAAGACTTAAATTATTTGAACAATGTTTTGAACAGAGAATTAAGAAAACTGTCCGATTGGTTTATTGTAAACAAATTTCCTTAAATTTAACGAAAACAATATTCATGATATTCAAACCAAGACAGAAAACACGTTACCCAGATGTTTAGTTAACACTTAACAATCGCAGTACTGAACAGGTAAATGAGACAGTGTTTTTAGGAGTAATTTTGGATGAAATACTGTCTTGGAAGTCACATATCTCGCATGTATAGCAAATAAAATATCAAAATCAATATGAATAATTTTTAGGTCAAGTTTTTATTTATTTGATATCTCTCTACGTATATTTCATACTATCCAATCATTTATCCATATCTGGGCTTCAACATACTCGTCCAACCTGTGCTGTATCGTATTGCTGAAGAAACGAGCTATTAGAATTTTAAACAAGAGCAAATTTCATGCATGCTAATACTGACCCGCTCTTTAAGAAGCTAAACACATTGAAATTCGAAGATATTCGTTTGCTGCAATTAGGTCAATTTATGTATTGTCACAAAAATTCTCTTTTGCCGAAAAGTTTTAACAGTATGTTTGTTTTAAATAATCAAGTCCATACTTATGACACTGGGCGTTGTGAAAACCCGGAATGCCGGAATATCACGGAATATGCCGGAATATCACGGAATATGCCGGAATATTACGGAACATGCCGGAATATCATGGAATATGCCGGAATATTGCAACATTTTCCCGGAATATACCGCAACATCACGATATTTTCCGATGGTAGCCATGCGACTGTTTATAAACATGGACGTCTGACAGCATATTTTATTACAAAAGTGATGGATCTTAGTTTCTCATTTTGACGGTAAGTAACAAAAAAAACTCTATACTGGAAGTTCTTGTTTATTATATTATTGCGAGTGTTCACCAAAAAAATTGAATCAATACGATTAATTCCTCCTGAGTTACAGCGTCTTGAAAAATAAAAGTGCTGACGTTAGCATTATTTTCGAACGCCTTCAGAACTGAACAATACACAAAATTTAGTTAAAAATTCTTGGTTAAGGTTAAGACGAGACTTCTTAGTACCTGATATAAACAAAAATTTAAACATCTTGGCTCAAACTTGCCTTTATTTTAGCATTTGATTTTTGGATATGTGCTTGCTGGTATAAAATTGACCATTTTATACCAGCAACTGCACCAAGCATTTATCCAAAAATCAAATGCTAAAATAGAGGCAAGTCCAAGATGTTTAAATTCTTGTTTATATCAGGTAAGCAGTCTCGTCTTAACCTTAACCTTAACCAATAATTTTTAACTAAATTTTGTGTACAACACAGTTCTGAAGGCGTCTGAAATAAATGCTGACGTCAGCACTTTTATTTTCCAAAACGCTGTAATCCAGGAGGAATTAATAATATTGATTCAAACTTTTTGGTGAACACTCGTAATAATGATATAAACAACATATAGAACTTCCAGTATAGAGTTATGGTTTGTTACTTACCGTCAAAATGGGAAAGATCCATCACTTTTGTAATAAAATATGCTGTCAGACGTCCATGTTTATAAACAGTCGCATGGCTACCATCGGAAAATATCGTGATGTTGCGGTATATTCCGGGAAAATGTTGCAATATTCCGGCATATTCCATGATATTTCGGCATATTTCGTAATATTCCGGCATATTCCGTGATATTCCGGCATATTCCGTGATATTCCGGCATTCCGGGTTTTCACAACGCCCTTATGACACTAGACATTCGAAAGCTTTTCATGTGCCATTATGTAGAACAGATATTAAATAGTTTTGTGTAAGATTCCAGGGCCCAAAACTTTTTAACTCTCTTCCATTAGAATTAGTTAATTCTACTTCCTTGATTTCATTTAAAAGAAAACTTAAAGCTTTTTGCTTCTTTAAATATTGAAAATCATCACCCTCTCGTAACTGTAAATACTGTCAAGTGTTATATATAAGTTATTGATATGATGATCATGTACTCTTGTCTGCCAAAATTAATAGTATGTAAATAGAAGAAATGTTAATCATTACCCCAAATGCATGCGTGTCCAAAGGGAGACTAAATTTAAATAAGCCTGCTGGTTTCATTTCAAATCAATCAAATCAAATTTTTATTAATAAATACATAAACAGTCTGTATATACAATACTATCCGCTAATAGCAAAGCTAATCGGGGCGGATAGTAGAATGAGATTAAATAAGAAGTATAGGATATGCTCGGTTATAATATAAAGTGGCGCAGTATACTGACAGCACAAAGCATCATTTTCACAAAAAAGAATTAATTCCCTATTAATTTCCTATTAATTTCGAAGGATGTACTATTTTCCATGCTTACTCATATATCTAATTAATGTGGGCACATCAGCATAATCGTCCTCAATCTCAAATATGGTTAAAAGACTTTTCTGAATTTTCAAATTGAAATTTTTTCTACCCAACTCTCGAACATCAGTGGGAATACTATTCCAAATTTTAACACCTGATTTTACAAAGGATGTGATAGTTGTAGTTAGTTTTGAGTATTCAACATAAAAATTATTGGATACACAATGTCTAGTGTTATAAGTATGGACTTCTTTTGATTGGATAAAACAATCGGAGATTGAAGATGGACAAGAGCTATTTGAGACGTCATACATTAAATTGCAAATTGTTTTAATGTAAAGCATATTTAAAGGAAGTGTATTGGAATGAATAAAAAGTGGGATAGCATGTTCCTTGTTTGTTTTAAAATTCATTAGACGTATTGCTCGTTTTTGGAGAATAAGTATCTTATTCAAATATTTTTTTGCCGCTTGACCCCAAACAGCTATACCATATGTTATATAAGGTAAGATTAAACATCGATAAATGTTTTGTAAGGTAGACAGAGGTACAAAATATCTAAGCCTTGTAATTATGCCAATTGTTTTGCTTATTTTGGATGCAATGTTGTCAATGTGGTATTTCCATGTGAGATTACCATCCACTATAACACCTAAATATTTTATAAATTCTTTGCATTCAATATTAATCAAGTTATTGGAATGATTGTCAAACATTTTTAGTTCAACTTGATAGTCGAGCTTTTTTTGGTGGGAATGAAAGATAACATAGTTGGATTTCTTTAAGTTGAGGGTTAACTTATTTGTGTTTAGCCATTCACAAACTCCTATCAATTCTCTATTGATGATCGTTTCTAGAGATTTTAATTTTTTATCAGAGTATACCAAATTCGTATCATCAGCAAACAAGTAAAATTTAAATACCTCAGATGATTTGTGAATATCATTTATGTAAATTAAGAAGAGTAAAGGCCCAAGGACTGAACCTTGTGGAACACCCAAGTTAACTGTATGTTTTGATGATATGTAACCACCAATTTGGGTTGTCTGTATTCTGTCAGTTAGGTAAGATCTAAACCAGTTGTTGATCACTCCACGGATTCCATAATGATGTAATTTGTGTAAAAGTATAGAATGATCAACGGTATCAAAGGCTTTTTTTAGATCTATAAATATGCCACACGAAAATAGACCCTTGTCCAGATTGTTATGAATATTATTTATAATATCAATAATGGCATGCTGTGTTGAGTGTTTAGCTCGGAAGCCATATTGCTTATCATATAAAGTTTTGTTTTTATCGAAAAACGTTTTGAGACGTTTAGAAATTAATTTTTCAAAAATTTGATTCAAATTTGAAAGCAATGAGATTGGTCTATAGTTTCCCGGATCAGTTTCATCATCATCTTTAATTTTCAATAATCATTTTAGGCTTTCTTGTTGCTAATATATTAATCGTGATTTCAATGTTTATATATTTATTAATTTTGTGTAGTTAAATTAATGTATTTAGCAACAAATCAAATTCATTAAACATCATTCATTAAACATCATTTCACCTTAAGAAAAAAATGGTATTTATTTCTTGCAGCTTATCCATGTGATAGTTCTCCCTGTGATAATAACGGAACTTGTGAGAATATTGAAAACAGGTTTAAATGTACTTGTACAGAACAATATGAAGGAGATAGTTGCGAAACAAGAGGTTTGTTCTTTAATTAAAATAATTCTTTAGTTAAAAAGCATTTTAGTTGTAGTTGATTGAGGAAAGAATAGCCGGTCCATAAAATTCTCGTAGTTAAGTTGTTCTCCGTCTGTTGTTCTCTTTGGATTGTCATTGTGATGTTATAGATGAGGATGATGCTGATGTGGTTAAAAAATCTTGGTCCTCAATGAAAAATATATGGTATAATTATTTGTAATATGCAATAATCAAAATTATCGAACAATATTTTTCTTCCAGTTGATCCATGTAAAAATAGTCCATGTTTGAATGGAGGTGAATGTTTGAGTGACTTGTCAAAATTTACTACCTCATGCAGTTGTCCAGATGGATATGAAGGAGACACCTGTCAAAACAGAGGTAAGGTTAAAAAATCAGGATTTTTAGGCATCTCATTCGATGATCAATGTTGAAGAATTTTCCGGAATATCTTAATTTATTTATGATTACTAGGAATACATATAGACCCATGCACTGACTTCACAAATCCTTAGAGTGTCCTCCAGATGCTCCATAACAATATCTGTTCGGGTACAACAACCACATACAGCGCAAAAATTAACCATTTTGATACAAACTTATTATAAATTTACAAAATTTGCTTTGTTTACAAAAATTATGTTATGCTTTATTATGCATAGATTGCTATTTGTCCTCCAAATACATCTTCACCAGCGCTGTGACGTCATGTGCAATGGGTCTATATGTAACAACTGCTTGCATCTCCAACCAAACCACTTTATTTCTCAAATATTTTAACATAAAGTATTTCAGTCTAACTAGCCAATCACTGCTGATCGCAGTAACTGGTCTTACCATAGTAATAAAATCATCATGACCTTTTCCACAAAAAGATCAAAATATTTATAGTTTTGTTGCTCATAAAATTATCAACTTTCCTAAATGCATTATATACGTATATGCATAATGTACGTCTACAAACTTCAATATAATATGACTTAGCCTTACGAATTTTTAGTAAAATTACGTAATATTACTGGGGGAAACAAATTACGTAATCGTTAGTCAAAACGCGCTAGCTATGATGAGAAGACGAAAGCTACGTAAGTAGTTCATTCTTCGTTTTATTTTACCGCCCCCCCCCCCCGTCAACGCCCGTCGTGCACCACTGAATGTCCTCTACTATCCCTACATTATCTCCTGCAATCCTATATATGATTGACTCTGTGGAGGAGAGTAATATAATATAAAGTTTCATCTTAGACGCTTCTTCAAACGTTTTGAATGTTCACTAAATATAACTGCTTTTTGCTGTTGAATTATTTAAACATTGTCTTCGAATCCTGACTAGTACTGTCCAAATCATCAAAATTGTTTGCTGAAATTGATTTGATTTCTTTCAATGTTAAGCTTTTTGTTACTAACTGCTTATTAACAGAACGCGAAATCTGTACAGAGAATATCGGCCCGAGGTCTTTTTTGTACAGACCGAGCCCATAGGGCGAGGTTTGTACAAAAAAACCGAGGTCCGATATTTCTGTACATGCCGAGCAAGGAGGTTAATAAAAGTTTATTATCTGGAGTTTATATGCATTTATACTCGAAACAAAGAAGAATAGATGCATGATTTGAAATGCATGTTAGTAGCGTGGTACACGTTTTGTCGAAGAAAACAAAAAATACCAATGTTTTCATTCTTTTCCACAAAAAACCATTCGCAGATATCTTATTAATAACAAATTAAATTACAATTTTCAAATTTTCAATTAGTTTTGCTGTTTTGTTTGAAATGCGTGCGTTTGTTTTTACGTAATGGACCGTTGAAAGTGCTTTTTAACCAATCACAGTCCGCCATTTCACCGCAAGTGATGCTTGCCATATAATAATATGTAATCTCATTTTTAATTGTTAATCTTTCCAAACTTTCACTTTTAATTACATTTTTATGGAAAAATTGCTATTAATTCTTTGTAGTTTATCCATGTGATAGTTCTCCCTGTGAAAATAACGGAACATGTGAGGATACGGAAGACAGTTTCAAGTGTACTTGTACAGAACAATATGAAGGCGAAACTTGTGAATTAAAAGGTACTCTTATTTAATAATTAATATCTTGCTTTTTGTTTCGGTTAACGATAAATATTTCTGGAGATGTTTGGCTCTCTACATATATCTTTTTAAAAAATACAACATTCAATTAATCTCATTGCGAAGGATTTCTGGAAAAGAAACAGATATTCTCTTATATGCATTTAAATGACAATGCAGTTTGAGAAATAACTATACACCTTAAATAAGAAATTAAATATAGTAATATTTTTATTCCCTGCAATCTGATTGGCTGCAAGAGCGTGCAGCTTTTTACGATATCTTGACCGTGGTCTAGAGCCGTGGTCCAAAAGAGTTAATTTTAGCGATAACCGAAGAGTGAAGACAATTTTCAAACTCAAAACACTACCCAAAAAGTGGAAAAATCCACACTGTCGTTTATACTAAAATACTAAAATGCAGTTAATTCACTTTCATGGACTTAGTCATGCCGAACCCTAAATGTTCTTTTCTCCAACAAAAATGCGAAAAGAACAAATATAAACATGAAATGAAACGCAGACAAGTGCTACATGTTTTGATTCAAATGCACCACATACATTGTGCTATTCTTCGAAAACATACGTATAAATATAAATACTACAACCTACAACTTGTCCTTAAACATAAAATTTTAAAAAATACCATAAACGGAAGTTTAAGCACGATTTCTGGGAAGGATATATTTGGTTTTCCATGTAACTTTTTTCAAAAATACAACATTCAATTGGTCTCGTGTCTACTGTTTTTTGTTGCCCAACCAACCAATATAGCAGTGTGTCGGTTTAATTACCCAATCGTGATATAATGGTTGAATGAAAACAAAGTTATTGGCTGCTCTAGCGAAAATAAAAGATACAAATAATTATGTTTATGAGTGCAATGGTAAGAATATTTTCATGAGGTGAAAGATGGAATGTTCCATCTATGCCGGCTAAATTGGGTTCTGATGCAAGTCAATGTTTGAACCTGAAAGATTGACAGTGCAAAAATTAGCGTTGTTACGTCTCATAAGTTATTAGGCGTGACATTGGACTCTGAGATGAGCTATGAGTCACACGTTGAGGAACTCTCTAAAAAGGTTGCCAAGCGCCTAGGACTGCTGAAGCATATTAGTCCATATTTAAAGAAGAGTTTAACGAGAGATGTACTATAACACTATAACAGTGTAACACACCATTATGAATGGAAGTATGGTGTGGGATAATAGTACAGCCGAAATTGCATATTAAGAATTCGTAAACTTCAGAAAAGAGCTGCTAGGTTTATCCTTGGGGTGGATAAGAAGATACCCTCAATTAATCTTTTCAATATGTTAAATTGGTTAACATTTTATAAAGAAAGTATCATAAAGCGCAACACATTAGTTTATAAGAGGATAAACAGTCAATATTGCGTTCCGGAGTATTTACGCTCTTCGTTAGTAAGAAATTGTGATCTTCATAATAGGGTCACTCGCCACTGTGGTCTTAATTTGGTGTGTGCAAAGTACAAGCGAGAAACAGAAGGAGGCCCCACCTTAATTGTAAGGACTACCAAAGAATGGAATGCTTTAGACATTCCATTGCGCTGCCTTGCAAAAGTCCGTAGCTAAGTTCAAACAAATGTTATATGCGCAATTGTTGCAGGAACAAAAGACCACTATGCAATTATAATCTTATATAATATTTTATTATAACTATTTTAATACTATTTAAATGACTTTTTAATGACTTATTGACAGATGTCCGTTAGGATGATACTGAACTTTGTTACATTAATTATTTCTTGTTTATAGTTGTAATATAGTTTATGAGGGCCACTAATTTATCAGTAGCTCATGCTTACTGTCATGTGTTACCCCCGGTAAATAAATGAAATGAAATGGAACGTATTTCATTGCACTCTCGGGAAATGGAATTTTCTATTCAATATCACGTGACCATAAACTGCAGCCAATTAAACGATCAGAATTCAATAAGGTATTATATAATACACACGTGACGATGAACCGACCATTTTTTTAAATTCTTCTCTTTTTCTGCCACGACCAAATATCGAGTATAGCAGAAAATGTTTCGGATATATTGGGGTGAAAATCTAGAATAGCACACAGCAAAAAATCACTTTCTTATTTTAAGAAAAAAACAACTTATTTTAAGAAAATTTTCTTAAAATAAGTCCAAATTTTCTTGGGAGACTGGTAAGAAAATTTTCTTACTAATTTTCTTAAGAATTTTTTTCTTAAGAAAATCATGAGATTTTTCTTAAAATAAGAATACCAATTTCTTATTTTAAGAATATTTTTTCCTTTAAAAGAAAATGTTTCGGATATAGTGGGGTGAAAATCTAGAATAGCACACAGCAAAAAATCACTTTCTTATTTTAAGAAAAAAACAACTTATTTTAAGAAAATTTTCTTAAAATAAGTCGAAAATTTTCTTAAAATAAGTCCAAATTTTCTTGGGAGACTGGTAAGAAAATTTTCTTACTAATTTTCTTAAGAATTTTTTTCTCAAGAAAATCTTAAGAAAATCATGAGATTTTTCTTAAAATAAGAATACCAATTTCTTATTTTAAGAATATTTTTTCCTTTAAAATTTCTTATTTTAAGGGAAATTTTCTTAAAATAAGTCCAAATTTTCTTAAAATAAGTCCAAATTTTCTTAAGAGGTATATTTTTATTTTATAAGGACCAACAAGTTATAGTAATGATATATCGATTATAGACTGGAAGCAATTATAAAGAATACATGGCACCTTGCATGCAACAGTTTATACTGTATATAAATATATAAATATATACCACATGATATTCATCATATAGTAATATATATACCACATTATATTCATACAGAAAAATATATACCACATGATATTCATCATAGTGCAGTACATACTGTATTAGTACCAGCTTATTGCATATCAACTTTGAAACTCTGGTAGCTTGTCATCGTCGACTTAAACAAATTGGCAATGTCTTGTGGCACATTTGTGTCTTAAAAATCTAATGCTGAAAAACATTCAAACCAATTTCCTGCATCCACGGATAATCAAAATCCAGAAGGTAGAAACTGGCAAGAAGTGCAAGTACTGGCTCATTCAAATTGGACATCTCCATGACATCTCATATGTATTGTTTCACGTTTTAAACACTGAAGACGTTCACAATCACATTATTTGTATGAAGGTGAATTTGTGTGCGATGACTGATGAGGATATAAAGTGACTGATCAACAGGGATTTTTAGCCAGTCATTGACTGTTGACTGGCCGTTATCTTGAGCCCGGGATGCATGCGACGAGGACAAGTTACCTAGCCGCTAGTCTACACTATTTAATATACTGTATCAAACAATTAAATAAATTAATGGAGAGAGTATAGACAGTACATATACACATGCCAAATTCAATGTTCTACTCTAAATCAGCCTTGAATTTTCAGAAACTTGTTAGTGCTGACTGAAATGAATCGGCAACCTCTTGAGGAACATTAATGTCTTGAAATACATAATGCTCATGGAGAACAATTAATCCAATCTCCGGAAAGTGTGGATAATCAAAAACTAAAAGATAAAAACTTGCCAGCACTGCAGTGCTTCATTCAGCTCTGTCAGGAATGCATTCCTGAATAAGCAAAATAACCAGCGAATCTTTAATTTCTTTCAATAGGAATATTTAATTTCTTCTGTTAGTCTGACAAATTAGCTATTTGACTATTGTGCCATTTGTTTTGTAATATGTATTTTGTATTCGTAGCTCTTAATATTATTACGGATTTTGTATTTTATATATTTTATAACATTATAAATTATCTACGCCGCACTTGGAAAGCAGCTTCGGACCTTGGGTTGAAGTGGCCAGCGTAGTCAAATAAGGTTTTTCCTATCCTATCCTATTTCTTGCATAAACCAAGACAAAAACATAGATAATGAGGTCTATTATGTCGACATCGAGTTGACTATGAATTATTTTTGCTTTTTCCATATTGCGATTCAAATTTTCAGCGTGAAAATCTTTCCCGTAAATAATTTGAATAATTTCTGAATTTTAAGTGGATGTTTGCAAGAGTGGACCATGTGAAAACGGGGGGAAATGTTTCAGTGATTTATCAAAAGAGGAATTTCACTGCAGCTGTGCAAAGGGATATGAAGGACAGACTTGCTCGGAAAGAGGTAATTTGAACATGATTTCTCAAATTCTCTCTGATCGTTTAAATACTTCAGAATTTTTAGCATCACACTCAATATAACTAACTAACTGTGAAGGATTTTGTTGATAGAAATTTCTAGTGTAAATTTTGTACATTACACCTAACCAGGAGTAGTTGCGAAAAATGCAACCATAGTCACTGGAATCGCAGGGCGATTCATTTCCGTTGTATGAACATTACATAAAGGATAATATATGAACATTACATAAAGGATAATATATGAACATTACATAAAGGATAATATATGAACATTACATAAAGGATAATATATGAACATTACATAAAGGAGAATATATATGAACATTACATAAAGGATATTATATGAACATTACATAAAGGATAATATATGAACATTACATAAAGGATAATATATGAACATTACATAAAGGATAATATATGAACATTACATAAAGGAGAATATATATGAACATTACATAAAGGATATTATATGAACATTACATAAAGGATATTATATGAACATTACATAAAGGATATTATATGAACATTACATAAAGGATATTATATGAACATTACATAAAGAATATTATATGAACATTACATAAAGGATAATATATGAACATTACATAAAGGATAATATATGAACATTACATAAAGGATATTATATGAACATTACATAAAGGATATTATATGAACATTACATAAAGGATATTATATGAACATTACATAAACGATAATATATGAACATTACATAAAGGATATTATATGAACATTACATAAAGGATATTATATGAACATTACATAAAGGATGATATATGAACATTACATAAAGGATGATATATGAACATTACATAAAGATATTACAGTTACCTGAAATTAAAAATACAAGCAGAACTTGAACCTTTCGAGCGAAGGCGCCTCGTCAAGAAGTTGGTCGACACCTAAGAACATCCGGAGGAAGGCGCTTTGCTCTAAACGACGAAGTTATTTTCATATTTTGCAAGTAGTTGTATCTCTGTCAATCCACAACTGTTTTTATAACTCGCACTTATTTCAACATTGAATTTCACTTCTCTTTCAGTTAATCCCTGCGCTAGCTCTCCTTGCTTGAATAATGCAACATGTGAGGTTACTCATGTCACTCAGTTTGTGTGTAAATGTCCAAAGGGTTATAAAGGAGAGTTCTGTCAAGACGAAGGTAAGTCTGACGTTCAAAGCACTGAACTCCCTGGGTTTCAGAGAGACAGAACCATACTTCATTGTCATTATATTGTTTTGTTTGCAATTTAATAATTGCTTGTTTTGCTTGCACAAGTTGCTATGTTTAGTGAGCTTGCATGAGGAAGCGACGTTTTTGTCACCACGGGCGTCACCCTAAAATTGACACAATTTTAATTAACGGCATATTTCACCATAATAGCACTCCTGTAATGGAGAATAAAACATTACAAATACCATATTATTTTTGTATGTCTTAAAGATTGCTACAAACTCCCAACAAACATCACTTGCTTAAGCTCAATATTAATGCTTATTCCAGCACCGGCCCTTGAATCTGTAAACTCCAAAAAGGTTGCCTGACAAGATTATTTAACGGCATTCATCAAAAACGTTTTAAAACAATAACTTTAAAGGGTATTGGCAACAAAAATTGCTTCATCTATCTTATTGCTTCATCTGAAAGAGCATGAAAAAATAAGCCGATTGGCCATTTAATGCTCTATTCTATCTCATCTAGTTCCGAAGTTATACGCAAAAATGTGAAAATATAAATTGCTGATTCAGCACAACGTGTGACGTCATTAGCTGGGTAAGTATGTTTATTGAATACTACACTGAAGCATAGCTCAGTTATTATGGGCCAAATCAAATGAAATTTTGCATACTGATTGTACATGATGAGACGCATGGAAAAACACTTCTAATTTTGTTGCCAAGGTAACAATGTCGTTTCCAGGCCCCTTGCGCCAATTTTATGAAACAGCTTTATTCAAGGTACTGATAAGAATAAAATAATGTCAGAAGTATGTGTATGATACCTATGCATGCCAAAAGTTTACTTGCATGATAATAATTCGAAAATGACATACACATAGATAAATGCAACTAGTTATTCAAAATCAGTGTAAGAGGCCTGGGAACGACTGTGTCGCCTTGACAACGAAATTAGAAGTATTTCCCATGCATCTCATCATGTACTATCTGTATGCCAAATTTCATTTGATTTGAGCCAATAATAACTCAGCTATGCTTTAGTTTACTATTCAATAAACATACTTGGTCCCAGCTTATGACGTCACAGAATGTGCTGAATCAGCAATTTATATTTTGCACATTTTTGCGTATAACTTCGGAACCAGATGAGATAGAATAGAGCAGTAAACGGCCAATCGGCTTATTTTTTCATGCTCTTTCAGATGAAGCAACAAATCAATAAAAATTTTTGTTGCCAATACCCTTTAAACGTTATTCTTGGCACTAGACCTCAATATAGTTTGCGCATTTTTCATGCAAACCGTTAAAGATGAGCTTTTTATCAGTGGCCTCAGAACGTCTATTTATTTCACGATATTGTATCAACCTTGTTCAACTAAAAATGTTGAAACCTTTGTTAAAACGACCAATATATGAACCTCACAATTCGTTAAAAGAAACTTTACATTATCAATACAAAAGTTTAATTGGAGTTATGGTCAATGAATTTTTGCAAACTTGAAACAATCACTATGCGGTTGACATCCAGCTTTCGTAGAACCGATCCCCCTAAAGAATTTGACGTATATGTTCCTTATATTGATAGTTGATCCATGTGAAATTTCGCCCTGCAAGAATGAAGGAAAATGTGAAAGCAAAGATGGTAAATTTAGTTGTGAATGCTAACTCACATGCCTAGTTACTATTGTTCTAGTTTACAGAAACATGAAATAGAGCAAAAGTAACTAAGCATTAGAATTATATATAAGAGATATTCACTCATGTAGATAATTCTAAAGCTTAGTTACCTTTGTTCTATTCTATACTTCTGTAAACTGGAACAATAGTATAGCTACAATCAGGAGCAAAAATTATTGAGACAACCGCATAAATGCCCCCCTCATCCCCAATTCAATGTTATGTGAATGACTGAAAAGAGAGAATTAAACCCACTTTTTCCAACATTGATCAAGGGGGCAGGGGGGAGGCCGGCGTACTTTAAAATGTCCAAAAATGTGAAAAGTCTAATTATTTTTGCACGCGATTGTAGGTATGTGAGTTATTTAAAGTTGTGAATAGGCTATAAACAAACGTTACCCAAATTGTCAATACATGGCATTGTATTTTTTTAATTTGCAAACTAATAGCCTTGAAGTATTCGATATGGTGGCAGTTGATTACCTTGCTTGGAATTCATTTCGGGAAAAATTAATGACAACCATTTTTTTGAATCGGTCTATGCATTATTATGTAAAACGTGACCTAAGTAATGAGGCATACTTGGAACAACGTCATCATTATACAGTTCGGATCATTCATAGCACTTAATGTCTGCTCCCGAGAGACATAGTTTGTTTTGTTGTCCCGAGAGTCTCGATGTTTCCCGAGACGAAGTCTAGGGAAAAATTTATGAGAGATTCGAGGGAAAACAAAACTAACTATTTTCCGAGGGAACAGACATTAAGCGTTTTGTTATACTGTACAGGGTGTCCCAAAAAACCCAGAAACTATAGAAATCACTTATTGTTAAATTTGAATGCCCTACCAAACAGCTGGACGTAATGATGCGTAAAATATTGACAAGGTGCATGTATTAGAATTTAGTTAGGAATATCTCCTAGTAAAGTGCGCGATTTTCTGCTCCTGGGAATTAAAAACAGCTTCTTAAACAGTTTCTTTATGCATAAAATTTACTTCTGTCAATCATTTATGCACTCGTGGGAACCAACAGAGCGCTAAGGCATTCAAATTCTAACAATTAAATTGTTATTGGTGATTTCAATAGTTTCCGTTTTTTTTTGGGACACCCTGTATAGCGACAAACAAAAATTAACATTCAACAACATTCATACAACAATTGTATTTCGTGACAAAAACTCTATAGTGTAAACTAGTTTAAAATTAAAAGAACCTACTTAAACGGTTTCAGCAGCATATCCTGTTGCCTGTTGTGTATTTTTCTTCTCTTTTAATTCCTTATTTGGACACAAACTTGGAAAATCGTAGTTTCTAATTATGCTAGTTCTGCCGTCATTTTGTTTATTTATGTAAGTGGTCGGTCGGGCAAGCAACAATTTTTCACTTGTTGCCCGGCGGGATACATTGCATTTATCTGAAGTCACCTGACCACAAATCAGCCAATCACGTTTGGTCTTCACCCTAGCCATATAACAATAAAGTATGTTCCTTCAAACACAACAAAAATATGTTTCCAAGAGGGCGTGGCGCGTCTGAACTGTGAAGCAAACATATTAGAAAACAAAGATACACCGATAATTCAGGGCATTTTTTAACTATATATAGTTATATAGTTAAAAAATGCCCTGGGCATTTACCCCAGTAGGCTCTTTGCTTGCCCCAGTAGTGAAGTATGATTTTCATATGAGCTGGCCCTTTCGATCATTAGTAACAAGTCATCTTTGTTGAAAAAGCTTCATCTGCCTGCGTTCTCATATCCTCTCACCTTCTCCATTCCATCTTATAAAAGACAGCACAGCATGGTCTTTATGTAGTACGAGTAACTATGCGGAAAAGGCCCTCATTGAGACTTTGCTCCAGTGGTTGTAATTTCTTAAAAAATGCCCTGCGATAATCCCCGAGCCGACGGCGAAGCGCCGTGCGAGGGTATTAATTCCCCCCGGCTATTTACTCCCGGGGAAACGAAAGCATTAGCGAAGTCTAAAGTTCACCAATGATGGCGGGCCAGCCTAGACCTAGGCCTTCTATTTTTATTTATATTTTTTTTAATATTCAGCACTTTTTCACATGAAAAGACTGGGACTAGGTAATTTGGGGGCGGGGCGGAGGAAGGACACAAGCCTGACGCAAGCGAAAATATAGAAGGCCTAGTGGATTTCCCAACAACAAGGCCAAAACTGCCCTGAAACTGCCCTGATTGCGAAATGCCCAATTGTTGCGTTCTCGAACAGAAGTATTTGCAACTTAACAGCGAATTTAAACCGATACAGGTAAAATAAACTCATTTATAGTATAAACTTACTATTTTTATTTATATACACGTCTAGAAAATCGGGGTTTTTATCATAAAGTTTGAAGCAACACTATTATTATGTTGACGAGGTGAAGCGAAAGCACAAAATAATAATTCTTTTCTTCGCAAGACAATCTACTGTTTTGCTTTGAATAACTATATTTGCGAATTGGGAATGAGGATTTTGAAATTATTGTTCAAATATTACGGATATACCATTTGTAAACAATGTACGTTTTTATATACAGTACTGTACGGGCTAATAATATATGTATCCGTTTTATTTAATAAATTATAATTGTATATTTTACAAACACAAGACTGCTTCTTGCCAAAATTGAGAAAATATATAATAATGTAGTTGTGTATAAGACAAAATTTCATGAAAGATTCTACTTTTGGTATATATTTTGACTCATTTTGTGCTTTCGCTTCACCTTGTCAACATATTAAATAATAGTGTTGCTTCGAACTTTATGATAAAAACCCCCGATTTTCTAGACGTGTATAGAAATAAAAATAGTAAGTTTATACTATAAATGAGTTTATTTTACCTGTATCGGTTTAAATTCGCCGTTAAGTTGCAAATAATTCTGTTTGACAACGCAATAATTGGGCATTTCGCGACCAGGGCAGTTTCAGGGCAGTTTTGGCCTTGTTGTTGGGAAATGCACTAGGCCTTCTAGGCTTGCTTCCTCCGCCCCGCCCCCAAATCACCTAGTCCCAGTCTTTTCATGTGAAAAAGCGCTGAATATTAAAAAAATATAAATAAGACTAGAAGGCCTAGGCCTAGGCTGATGGCGGGCGTGGCTCACTGTGCGTGGGTGGTCATCATCACTGATCTCAAAAATATAGCGGACTGTCATGAATAGCGAACACTGTGATTGGTCCAATTTAAAGTTTGCATTATAACGACTGCATGACGACAGCGAAATAGCAAACATTTCTTGATTTGATGATTGATAAATTTCTTGCATATGTATAAAAATGAATATTTTTGCTCGATTTTGCATTTTTGCTCGATTTTACATTTTTGCTCGACTTACAAGATTTTGTAAATTTCAAGAAAGGGCGAAAGAATCGGCTAAAAGAAGGGAGCCGACGTTAACGAAGGAAAGTTTGTTTTAAATATTGATTTTATAATTGCTTTAAAACCCGACGGCCTTTGCGTATATGAAACAACTAAACAAGACAGCATATAATTTCAGTGTATATTTAATATTGATTCCCTTTTTTATTATATTGAATTTTTTAAATAAAAAAGAAAGCAAAGTTATTTGCATGCGAGAATTTGAAATCATTTTATTGCAAACTCAAATTGCAAACTTGAATTTTACCTTAAATTGAAGCTTATATTACGTACAATATCATACCTAACATGTATATGTTGGGAAATTGATAATTTTGTAATTAATAGTGATATTTTTAGGCAATTTTTCATTTGTAAGAATATTCTTAAAAAATTATCGTGTTACCATGACAACTACTTTAGATACTTCATGTTCAAAAATACAGTGGTTTTGTTAGCAAGGCGACGGTTTCTGCATGCATGTATTTTCTAGTTTATAATTGAATAAGGTTCTGGACGGCATCAATAAACAAATTTGACGGCTGACCGCTGACGTTAATTTGTCTATATCCAATTCAGAACTTTAGATAACCCACATACCTAGTTACTATTGTTCTACCTTACCGAGACATAGAATAGAACAAAGCTAAGTAATCTTTAATTAGAATTCTCTACCTGAGTGAATAACTCTTATACATAATTTTAATGCATAACTGCCTTTGTTCTATTCTATGTTTCTGTAAACTAGAACAACAGTAACTATGCATTGAGTTATCTAAAATTGTGAATTGGGTAAGCAACGATGTAAACAACGTGTTAACCAAATCACCGCTATTTGTATTTTCAGTTTTCTGCGCGTGCGCCTTTATCCTGATCTTTATAAGTGCATGATCTACTACGCAGCGACTTTGACTCGAAAAATATTCGAAAAATCTTGTAATACATACAAATGCACTTATATGCGAAATAACATACTGACTAATTTTACGATTCTTTATTTGTTTGTCGTAATAAAGGGTGCATATCTCAACAATGGTAATGGATGGACAAAAATGCCTTCATACACTCCACCTTTCCATATTGCTGCTGACAAGTACGGTGATCTGGGGGCGCGGTTTGCTGACGTCAACGGCGATGGTTTGATAGACTTTGTCTACTTCAGATGGATAAGCAGCAAGAGACAACAAAAGGGTGCTTATATCAATTCAGGTTGTGGGTGGAGATCAGAGCCACGGTATATACCACTGTTTCACATTGCAGCTGATGGGTATAAGGACCTGGGTGCAAGATTGGTGGAACTCAATGGAGATGGGGCAACCGATTTTGCTTACAACCGTATGATTTCCAACCGTATGACTTTATCCAAATCCCTGCCTATATTGCGAATCACGTACTATAGAACGGCGTACGAGATTTAGGGACTGTCAACATTTGTTGTGGAAATTAAAAATTTCCTCGTCACTCTGCATGTCCTGAACTCAACTGGTGTTTTTAAAATATAGAGTATAAGTACCTACCTAATACGTACACGCTTTGCGATTAGTTTTCCGTAAAAGTGATCAATGTTTATTGTCTTTTATTGTCACAAACAACCAATCACGAAGCCTATTCACATAGATAGTAAGTACTATTTAAAACACGAGCATGCACAACACGAGAGCGCAGCTCGAGTGTTTTAAGTCGGATAAGCACAGACTGCGAGTGTTTTAAATGAAATAAACGACTCATCTGATGAGTACATTGGCGAAGTAATTGTAAAAATGAGCGTTGTTTAAGCCGAGAAAATCAAAGTTAACGTTTATGCAAATGAACGTAATTTTTACCATTAAACCATCGACACCGTAGTGATTTTCTCCTTTGTGTTTTGTCGTGAATTACTAATGAGTTTTTATTTTATAACTGTGCTTAAAGCCACTTACTCGCTTTTTATTGTATCTAAAATATTATGTAGGACTAAGATAAGAGCGTTTTCTCACAATATATCATTATGCAAGCTATGAAAATGTGTTACTGTTAGTCGTGCAGCATAGTCATGGGAAATATTTAGTTGCAAAATACAGAAATCACAGAAGCGAGCGACAAGGATCATCACGAAGTCTAACTTTGCGGTGGGATTGTCTTTCCTTAGCTAGGATATATATATGACCTTCAACTTCCTTTCCCTCGGACTGACTCCGGCAAATATATAGTGCTTCCATTCTTTTTAATGCCTTAAACAGTGATTGTAAACAACTAGCTGACATTTCACCTTCATGCTCTTCGGATGCTTTCATCTCAAAAATGACTAATGCCAAACAGAAACTTTGTAAAATATTTCTTAATTCTTAATAACCTTACTGACCATCTCGAAGACCTGTTTTGTAAAAAATATAAATATTTACTAAAATTGTAAATGCATTCATTATCTAATTAATTTTGTTCTCATAAGTAAATAGTAGTAACCATACCTGCATGTTATTGTTTCTAAATATTGTAACATTATGAAGACCGTATGTTAGATGACGATTATGGTTAATACGTTTCCTTCGTGAAATAAAGTTTTTTACTTTGCTTATTATATACTGAGGTTTTAGCCTGTTTAATTAAATATATTTTTATTCTATTGTATTATGATACATTATTGATGTTATCCAAAACAATTCAACTACATTAAATACTTACCAACCTTGTACCCTTGACATTTAACTTCTAGCATGTGGTGATACCAACCCAGCGTTTTGCCTGATTTACTCCAAATATTGCTCCTTGTGGAAGGTGGCTCACAACATGTGCAGGCGCACCTGCAACACCTGTAAACTTTAAGGTAAGTGAAGTTGAAGCTTGCTAATTTTTATCTCGGATGTAAGCTCCCACGCCGATTGGCTGCCTTAACCCTGGTTCTCGCTACGACGTAAGCATAAGAATAAGCAAAAGTGGGATCAAACGTATTCATTTCTTATGTACTGTCTTCACTATACGACAGAACAGAAGCATAAGAATATCAAAACGTTGCGTTCTTTTCCTTATGCTTACACTGTTGCTTATGCTTGCGTTTTATCCTGCGTTCTGCCAAGGATACAGTGAGAACAACACGTCAAGCATAAGAACATCAAATCATTCCGCTTGTTTATCATTGCGCTGATGCTAGCGTTGTAGTGAGAACAATGCTTTAAGCTTCGAATACAATGGTTGCTAATAGTATTGCGTTGTCGTCGCACAAGGTGGCTACACCTGCAATATTTCACCTGCAATACACGTCTTTATAACGCATTTCATTGGCCGGTCAAGAAACGTGTCAATCATCAACCTTGACCACACCACCCAATTTTCGGCAATCATTGCCAAAAATCAACAGATTTGAAATTTCGGCAATCATTGCGCGAAGCTTTGCGTTGCCATCGCAGAGCATGATACACAAGCAATTTCTCTCTCGCGATGGCAATGCAACGATTTTACCACCACTGCATTTCCGTCGCCAGAAAAATATTACCCGCGTGTATCCGGGACTTACATATGGGACTTGCATTCATCTGGCCCCCAGATATGTATCTTAGTCTGTGTATCTTAGTCTACCGTTTAAATGAATTTATCCCACAATGCCCTGTCTAATCTTCTATAATTTCCATGCTTTGAATGATAGAACGACACATATTAACTTTTGCCTGAGACTGTCGGATGCAATCAGTTTAAAATTGCAGTGTGTATAGCAAGCACACAACTCGCCTACGTTGTCGTACGTAAGTTGTGTGCTTGATTGATACAGTACAACTCAAGTTGTAAGCAGGTTGCATGCGACAGTTTTGGGCAAGAGTTGTGTAGTGTAAATCGGTTATAAAACTTTTAACTACGTTTTAGTGCAAAGGTGTTGTGGCGTGTTCTAATCGCCATGTTTTTCATTCTTTCAGGTATTCCACAGGCAGAAACACAGGTTCAAAATGAAAATAAAATGTAACTGATATTTAAGTTTGGTTCTTTAACATTTTTGTGTGCATTTTGAACGTTTTTTCATACATTCTCTTTTGAATTATTGAGTATAGTTTAAGAAACTCACGTGAAATTAAAATAGTATTGCATTATGCGGTTCACATCATTGAGAAACTGTAGCGTAAAGTATTGCATAAGTAAGAGACCACTGCGCAGACTAGTAATATTTCATGCTCCTCGAGCGTGCTTATTTTTCTCCTAAATTGTAGAAATTTTGTATTCATGTTTGATAAAATTAAAAACTGTTACGTGGAGCTCGAACATGTAGTTATCATCCACTTTTTTGGCCGAAGCGAAGAAATTTTCTGATATTTCTGAATTATTGTGCAATTCATGAATAATCATCCCTAATTATCACGCTATGTACTTTGCACCAAATAATTGACTTATACGGCAGAACAGCCAACGATTTGATCTCAAAATCCAATTTGACGTTTGCAGGTAGCAGTCTGCCGTAAACGTCATTCTTAAGATCCCTCAAAGATAACATGCCATGTACAGTCTTGTAAACCACGCAAATGAATAATAGTGCTATAATAATTAAAGAACGAATTCTTTACTAGTGGCTGTAACACGTCTGTTAGGGTGTCGATCCGTACCTAATTTCCCTCAAAGCATGCGTTTACTTATAATAAATACGATACTCCATCTTCATATTGAGTAGTTTCAAATTTACTCAATTTACCCGGTCAGTGTACCATTTTAGGGGTCCATACCAAAATGTTTCGGAACATCAAAAATTTTTTCCAGACATTACAAATTTTCTCCATTTTTCAAAATTTTTTTTCTAAAACTCCGACCCCTATCTTGCCCTTTGCGCGAAAATATTTAACCCAAATAGCAGTTCTACCGACTGAATAGCAGTCCTGCCGACTGAATACAATTTCTGGGGGTGGATACAATTTCTGGGTGTCACACCCCCCACACCCCTCCCGTAGCTCCGGGCCTGGCTCGTGGTTTTTGAATCGAAATTCCTTATATTCTGTATTCACGATTTTTACCAGATTTTTATAGATATGCTTTTGACAGGACTACCAAACTAAAATATCCCCATTGGGCCTAATCATCCTCATAATGGGGATTCGAAAGAGTAGAAACAAGCCGAAAGAATCGTCCTGTGCTCAACTCCAGAGTGATACTTTTGGGATTGTTTTGCATTTACAGTGATATAATAACGGAGGGAGATTCCGTAAATAGCAGGAAAAGCGGGGCTGATTAGTTGAAGAAATCAATATCCAAGGTTATACAGATATATTGTCACTTGCATCACTTCCGAGACATCTCAAACAGGAAATCTCTGCGTGGACCCTGCGACAACACTGCGCATGCGGATATGTTTTCGTCTAAAAGCAAGCTTTTTATTCTACAATCATGGACAATAATGTTGAAGGGTCTGTACCAGTGTAGGTAGTGCAAATAATAACAAGCTTTCGTTGGTAGGATGCAACTACCTGGTAACAAAATTCTCATTTGCCGCTGTGAGAGTTTGAAATCTCAACTAGAATATCCCCACTCGCCCTAAATAATGCTGTCCAATTGCGTTTAAAAATGTGTGCAAATAGCAACATTGGATTGGAGAGAAAGGGCTAAACCCCCTGAAGTTAGTTGAATGTGTTTTCTTAAAAAGTCGATCTATTGTAATTTTAGTGTGCAAAACGCGTAAGCTTGTACTACCGAGAGAAACTGTATGTTTTGTCATTCCGAGAACGGCAAATGTTTCTCGAGGCAAAGTCGACCTGACTCTTAACCTATCAAACATGTGAGAGAGGGGTCGTGCCTGCTCGAAGCACAGCCGAGCCAGCTCTATCGCCGAGAGCATGGTCGGAGCCGATTCGAGTTTGTCCGAATGTTAAGAGCCCGCTCAGAAAGAAGTCGAGGGACGTCGTCAGGTGGAAGAAGTAGCTCGCCATAGTGAATCTTTGTGTTGGAATAACAGGATAGTTAATTACACGTTGTGACGCCAACGTAATTTTTAATGGGTGTACTGCCTCAAAACTGATGTGCTGCAGTACCTCACAGCACCTTGCGCTGCCAAACAGATCGGAAGCTTCAAAACTAAGCTATTTGCGAGTTTTAAAACGAGGCTACGTTTACTCTATACCGGATAACTCTCCGTAGCGGCGCGAAAAGCGCCTTTCCGATACGGAATGTATACAGCTATCTCAATTAAGGTTGTCCCCGAGCAAAGCCGAAAAGTCGAATACGAGCGCGAAAAGCTTGCTGGGAATCGACAAAAAATTAATGAATTTTAGCGATTCCCAGCAAGCCTTTCTCGCTCGTATTCGACTTTTCGGCTCTGCTCGCGGACAACCTTAATTGAAATAACTGTGTAACTTTCAGAGGCTGAGGGAAACAACATCTCTTCGTTGTAATAATTCCTCTGAAAATAGCGTTCCTAGAGCCTGGTTTCCATATGGTCGTTACGGTCGTAAAAATAGAGTCACGATCTTTCTCAATGGCCAGTTTATAATAGTTTATACCTGTAAACCACATATAAATATACATATTCTTTAGTTCTAATCATTCCGTATATTTTCAGTTCAAAAATGTTGTATTTCGGCTGATGAGAAAGATCGTGACTCAATCTTTACGACCGTCACGACCATATGTGATATGGAAACCAGGCTTAAAAGATTAGTGTTTTTTCAGGTTGCTACAAAAGCTATATCTGGTTCAGTGTAAACGTAGCCTGAAATAGACAGGGGGTATTGATTCTCTTGGAATATAAATATATCTAAAGTAAATCGAATAAATCACACACACTTATCACCAACATTGTCATTTATTGATTTTCCATTGATCAAGTTTGCTCGCCGGTAGCTACTAGGTGAATGTCTTTTAACAACACAACTTCCCCAGTAACTGCTTTAGTTATTTCTTATTTTCAAATACAAATATGTTGTTGACTAAAACATCTATCAACAACTGTTTTTATTTACACTTATTAAGTCTGATGTTTCAAACGTGTTGTTGAGCCTAAGGTATGCACTGCATGAAGTCTAACAGTATTACAATATTCAAAACATGTTCAAAAGTTCGATCACAACGAAGGTTTCTTTTGCGAGTGTTCTCGTGTTCTGCTTCTTCATTCTTCTGTAGTTTGGTTTTAAATCTCATGTCGTGTCAACTCTCAGGCTTGCAAACTTCATCCACAGGGCCAGCATCCGCAAATTTCGCCGATTGTGTAATACTTTTACTTCATGTATGTTCATCACGAGAGACACTTACGATGTTTCGCTGCAGTTTGAAAGTTGTTTGGAAGAGATAATCACAACTCAACTGTCACATGATTGCAATGTCACAGAAAGGAAGTCGTGTCTTGGAAAGACAATTCCACGGGAGAAAGGAAGATAACAAATAACTGACATATAACTGGGGAAATATCAACCTCAAATGAACAATTTTTGACATTGGTTTACTTGAACAAATGCATGTGATGAGCATTTCTGATTCTTTCTTTAGAAAATCTATTCTTTAAAGCCTTGTCCTCACTGCGACGCAAACAAATTAAAGCATAAGAGTTAAGGATCAAACGTATTGATTCTTATGCGTTCTTTTCGCTTCTGTTGTTGTTTATGCTTGCGCTTTATCTTGCGTTGTATCGAGGACATAGTGAGATCACAAGCATAAGAACATCAAAGCGTTCTGCTTGCTTATTATCATTGCGGTCATACTTGCGTTGTAGTGAGGACAAGACTGCAGTTTTATTGTGTTTCATTGTTATAATCAATCAATCACAGAACTTGTTCATATAGGTTGGAGACGACCACACATAACACAACAAATATTTGACAAGACATTGTGACATGCAATAGAACAAACATTTGAAGAATAGAACAACAAATTCTGACAAATAAAAAAATAGAGGAAATTCTGATATAATAGGGCAATATTTTGACAGATATTCGGACATATATCCTGTAAATTTCACAAATTAATATATACCGGTTAGAGTTATTTTGAACCAATTTTAATTCCAAATGTGGTGATACTTGGTTCAAATTAACTTCCTGGGGCCGGTTGTATAAAAAAGTGATCATAGTTAAGTGGAAATGTCATCCAATAAGAAGCGCATATTTGAGAGTTAATCACTATTTAACTACAAAATAGTGATTAAAAAAGTGAATCAGATAAAGAGTTTTATACAATCGGCCCCTGAAATGAACAGTATAATACAAGTGAAATGTGTTAGGAAATTCTGAAATAATTTTGAATGAGGACAAAACGAAAGGTAGGCCTACATATTTTATACTACTTAATTTTGATCAATTAACACATTTTACAAACAAGTTTTACATACACAATAAACAATAATAAACACAAACATTAAAAATATTAGAATTGTAAAGATGACAGGAATGAGGGGCTTTCTTATTTTTTTCTCATATAGTTTAATTTACAAATGCGCGGAAATATATATAACATTGCTGTTTTCAACATTTTTATTGAGTGGAACCACTACCAACAGTATAAATTAATAATTCAATCAAGGTGACAATCAGAACTGATTTGTGCGTAAGGCAATGGCTAAAACCTCTACACAGACGTAACTTGCTCTGGCAGAGAGTATTTGCACAAAATATTATGAAAATACGGGAAATGATGTTTCCTGTGAGTCATCAGTGACAAATTATTAATGCGCACCGAATTAAATCATATACCAAAATATTAATATACAATTACTTTATGGTTTCCGTGTTTGCATGGGCTGATCCAAACACGCGGGAATGTTGCGAGAGTGAAGAAAAGCGCGCGAAACACGAGCCGAAGGCGAGTGATTTTGCGCGCTTTTCTTGCCATCCAAACACGGAAAACATAAAGTAATTGTTTTATAATATAACAAACTTTCCGTGTTAAAATTTCACTTTAAAAAGCTTTCACTTTAAATTTCCGTGTTTGGATGGCCTGATCCAAACACAGGTTTCGACCAATCAGAGCACGCGTTATATTCATGTTATTTTATAAATCCAGATCGATCACGTTTAGAGACAGAGAGTACATAGAAAAATGTTCTTATTTATATTCCCATGAAGGTGACCACCGCCTCTTATCAGCTGATTTTCAGTTGAACATTTTCTCAAAGTTTTTTTTTGTTGTTATTTTGAGCACCTAAACTATTGTACATTAAGACTGCATGGCTGATTTTCTCAGACGAAATTTTCTCTTAGCGAAGAAAGCTCTCAAAGTTACCTTGTCCGAAAATTTACCCAATAGCAATGCCCTGGAAAAGCATTTTTTTATTATTTAGATAAATTACGAAAATATTTTGGGTGATTTATCCCCGAGCAAGTGCCGTTCAGGGCGTAAGCCGTGAGCGAGGGTACTAATTCCACCCAGCTATTTACACCAGAGGAAAGGAACGCACTAGCGAAGTCTAAAGTTCATCAAATATCGCGGGCGCATGGTGTACGGTTGTTCATCTCACTGATCTCAAAATTTGGCTGTTTGCCAGGAGTGAAGGAAGCAAAAAATTAAAAAAAAACATGTAAAAAAGCTTGGAAAATCGTTTCACATAACAAAATGTTAAACTTTTTTTCAATATTTCGACGATTTAGTATCAGAAATCCTAAAGTATAAGGCAAGTTTATTTCAATTGTTCATGTATGACCTTGTATTATTATAGACTTTGTTTTTGTTGCTCAAATCTTTCCTACGCATTGTATGCGAAAGTTTCTTAGTTAAATTAACTTTTGTAGAAGTTCATGATAAAAAGGAAAGCAAATTATTTTCATTAGCGTCCGGTATGAATTAAATTTATTTAATTTCAAAGTGCGAGTAATAAGTTGAAGCTTGAGTTGAAGAGTTATCGGCAAAAAAGCAGTTAATTTCAATTCACATTTTAAAAGGTTCTACGAAGAGAGTTTCGTGCTGCATTTTACATTAAAACGGAGCCCATAGAAAGCAAAATAATATACCTACTTTATATATTTTAGAAATTGATAGTTCTGTACTTAAAGTGTTCAAGTTTCATTTATTTTTTGCAGTTTTGTACTTTTGTACAAACAAATTGAAAAACAATTATTGCGACATTGTGTTGCCAGGGCTAATATGACGTCAGCAACGCGACCCTCCGTTCAGTGTTGGCGTAATTACGAATACTTCATATTGAAACAATGTTTCGAAAATATACGCGAGGGGTTGTTGCATGCATGCATTTCTAGTTTTATTATATCATATAATCAAAATATCTGCTTTGGTTATTTGAAATAACCACATTTTCGTTTGCCAAATGAACTTGCGTTTTGCGCTGAATGATATTTCAAATGAACCTCACTTTCAAGACTTCCTCCCAAAAGACAGCATTTGAGCCATGGTGGAGTTTATGCTGGTCACGCTAACAGCAGAAGGTACGCAACCAACAAACCAGTTTAAGCGTTCAATTGTGAAAGATCTGGCGAAAAAATCTGCCAAACCAACAAATTTCCGCAAGATGATTCTTTTCCAAAGCTTGCAAATTTTAAAGGAAAGACAGGCCGAAGTCCGGAAATGGACGAATTTGTTAAACTTAATCTTCGCGATGTGATGGAAGGAAAGAAATTTGGCGATGTTTTCAGAAAATCCGAATTTCCAACGACAAAAAAGGAGGAACAAACATTTGCCCTTTTTTGTTTCTCAGGAAGCAAGATACACTTGTCGCAGGTTTTACGAAAAGAAGTCATGTAAAAATTTCATTGAATTCTTTCGAACTGGCCATGCTCAAACTCATAAGAGAAACGAGAAGACGAGTACACAATTGTATGAAAATCAGTTTTCATATTTGTGAAAATCAATTAATTCGAAGCTAAAAACAGGACTTAGAAAAGATGGTGTTTGTTTTGCTACACCTTGGACTTTTTGTGTCTTTATCGCTTGGCGAAAAGGACTGGAGCACAAAAGATAAATTCACTAAGTCACACAAGCTTTCTGTTTTATTTGATACGAAATTGGTATCACTAATTAGAGGAATATGGCGAGGAACTTGGTATTTTGATGCTGCCGAATCAGGTGAACGGTGATGTATATATTATGTTGTCATGGCCAGAAATGGAGGACATCAAGCGGTCGGGCGTGCGGGCTCAGGTTTTCTTGATAATTCAATGCACTATACAGATCAGTGGTTCAGTTTTGGCAAAATGGCTGTTTATTTTTACTAGTATAGCTCAGTGAGTTTTACCGAGAACTAAATAATCTGAGCACGGCAGATTTATAAATTGAAAATAAGAAGAGATAAGCTAATGAATGGCTTTCAACACATAATTTCCATTGCAAACAAGTATACATAGGGCGCAAAGGCGGAATATCCGACATTGCAAATACAACCAGATATATAGAAAACCAGCAAAATTATAAAATATAACAAACTTTACGCCAACCGAGTCTTGATCGATGCTCAAATTTCAAAAGTCTACCAACACTCAATAGTTATAAATGTTTTGAAGTCGGCAAATCAAAACTTTACGAAATCCCGCGAATTTTAGAATGTTTACGAGACTACAGCCTATATTGACAGCGGTTAAGATCATTGTAACGTAGCAACAGCTTTATAAAAGCAATGGCGGACAACAAATGTAACTCTTGGTGCGAAATTTGTGATATTTTTGTTCAAAATATGGTGCATTTCTCATCACAATTGGACAGACACGTCTCTACAAAATACATGCAATTCATCGCTTTGGGGAACATACTAGTGTATACTTTTACGCTTCATACAAATGACAATAATAAAGAGGAATTCTGTATGAAGCAATTCAGATATGCACATTTGACGATATCTGTAAAGAACGAGTTGAAATTGGACCTGCAAAATACCGAATATGTCGAAATCACATACTTTCCTATGCAGAGACTAGGCAGAGATATTGACTGCTCGGGAACATACTTAGACAACTCGAGTGGTACCAATTTTTTTACGGATAAAAGTTGGACAGAATCGGTGAAGTTCTAGATATGCACATTTTGGATTTCTCAACCGTAAGTTATCAAAAATACAAATTTTGCATTATTCCCATTCAAATTATATAAGAAGACGCCATTTTGAATTTTTATTTTGAGTCAAAATGCGCATGCTTGGCAGCCATGTTGGACTCCATTTCTGGCCATGAATCTAACAAAAGACCCACTGTAATTCTCATTTAAGCTGTTGTGGGTCCCATTTGTGTGTGTGTGTGTGTGTGTGTGTGAAAGGACCCACTGTAATTGGCATTTAAGCTGTTGTGGGTCCCATTTTGTGTGTGTGTGTGTGTGTGTTTGTTTGTTTATCTGTTTATTTTATTTTATTTTATTTTACAAGTTTGCCACTGCAATAGATCTATAGAGTACTAATTACAAATGACTGGAATAAATTTAAAAGTAGTTGGAGATGTGGTGGTATTTCTTATGAAGCAGGGAAGCGTGTTCCACACATTTGCAGCTCTGATGTAAAAGCTGTCTTGAAAAGAAACCGTTTTACTTTTTCAATCCGGTAACCGAAGATGTATATAACGATATTAAGGTATCCAAACTTTAATGTGTTGGTCATGTTCAAAAGCGTATGGGATAACAACTTCGATCACTGAAAAAAAAGAACCTTTCGAACTGGTCATGCCCACACTCATAAAAGAACACATTAGAAATCACGTGCTGAGGGAGCAACCAAGGCCAGTGTCAAAATAAACAAAGAGCTGGCTGTTCATGGTTTGATATTTTCAGTGTTTTCAACGATAAACGTCCAGGGCGGTTTTTCGTTGGCGCAATCTGCTCATACACTTGGAAGTGTAACCTGTCTCAACGAGCTCACAAAGAAAATCGGAAGAAATTTGATCAGTATGTCGCCAAAATGTTGGCAAGAAAGATTGAAAGGTTCACGGAGAAAGGAGTCGGCTTGGAGACATTCCCTTCCTCTGCGGGTTATCGATTTGAGTCTTGATGTTGAAACAACGGTGTTAAATCTTGTCGGAACTTTTTGTCCAGAGGCAAAAGTTGTTGCAAAGCCTGCTATAATTGTTGTTTCAATCATGAGAATTTCCATTGATGACTTTTACCTCAAATTTCCTAATCATCAAGGCGCTACAAACGATGGATTACTTTGATTGCGGCGATGACTAATGTAATATATTGATGGATTTATTTCGATTTAATTCATTTTTCGGTAATGTATGTTCAGTGTATAGGCAATGGATTAAATGGCTGTGTGTGTAACTTCATTGCTATGAAATGCCAAGACTAATACATTTGGAACTTTCACTGGAGGGAATCTAAAAACGTTTACACTAAGGTAGAATCGTTTGCCATTACAAGCCAGGTTGTTGAAATTTGTGATTCGGGCAGCATTGGCTTTTTATATGATTGTGTAAAGCGCGTACCTTTAGCTTCAACGGCCGTTTTGAATAGTGATGAATACCTTTCTAAATATACTCGCAGTTCCAAACATTTCAAACAAAGTCATTTAATTGGAATAAATTTTCAGCAACATGACAAAGACTACGAACAAGCTTTGAGACGCGTACCCTGCTTCGTAGCAGGAAGCAACAAACTCCAACTATTACGTTGAGCACAATTGGTGGAGAAGCATAACTACCACTCGCAACGCACCCTACGCAAGGAAATCAACAAAAAACATGCGATCACACAATCAGTATTCACAGAGGTCACCTTATCACTGCCCAATATAAACCCACAGGTCACGATTTACATTTGTATATACGAATGCGATTCCCCAATTTGCATCGATAAACTCTGGACGTTGGAATCAATTCGAACGAAAAATACAAACTCCAACTATTACGTTGAGCACAATTGGTGGAGAAGCATAACTACCACTCGCAACGCACCCTACGCAAGGAAATCAACAAAAAACATGCGATCACACAATCAGTATTCACAGAGGTCACCTTATCACTGCCCAATATAAACCCACAGGTCAAAAAACATGTGATCACACAATCAGTGTTCACAGAGGTCACCGTATCGCTGCACAATATAACCCACAGGTAACGATTTACATTTGTATATACGAATGCGATTCCCCAATTTGGATTGATAAATTATTATTGTTGGCGTTATACCATCAACGTATGGAAAAAACGATCCCAGATTTGTTGGTGAAGCAGGATTCAGTAACTATCGTGGTGGCCATCCAGGATTTTCCCAGCTGTGAAGCGGCGCTATAGAGGATTCAGCTGCATGCTGTCAAATAGAAGCATTTACTAAGTCTAAGAATATTGCATTCTATTCTCCGATCAGACCTGGTCGTAAACTAGTAAGGTCTGTTAAGTTGAGTGAGTTGTTTCTCGCTCTGCAGGCGGGCTATGTGGAGCTTTTCCCAGATGAGGCAAAATGCACAGACGATAAACATTTCCTCAGATTGTAGAATAAAAGAAAACTGTCATGACATGGATAGAAGCTATTTGAATGCACAGCGTACAAAATGGGTTGCGAGCATTGGCTCTTGACGTCTCACCAGTGTAATTTCAATGAATTGAAAATGTCGACACAACTAAATGATACAAACGAACTTTTAATGACGCATACTTTCAAGCCGTTTTCTCTGAGCTTTCTCAATAACCTGTCATTATCCAATTGTTTTAGCACTTAATATAAATAGTAAATCCACGAAGGCTGTGTCAACGGTGGGACTTGAATATGATATGGGCCAAAGAAGAAAAAGATTGGTTGAAAGTTTCCTTAATGAGGGAGTCGTTTTCACACTTTAACCTGAATTGGACGCAGGCGGGTTAAACGGAACATTCCATTGGGATGACCAAAATAAAAACATGACTGAGAAAAATATCCGAAGGAATCGTTGGTATCTTGCCTTCTTTAAATAACCATTTTAAAAGCTAAAAGATATTGTAATCTTTACACAATTCTTAATTTTTGTATAATTCCTTATTTTCTGTGTAATTGTATATTTTTGTTGCATTTCACTGTGTAGTGGTAGATGACGTGGCAGATTCGTAAAATACGATAAGCTTTTTCCGACGAAAAGCTTTTTTCCTGCAATGCGCCTTCGATCGCATAATTTGTAAATTTTGTAAATATTAAAGTAAATTTATTCTTTTGTATTAATTCATAGATTCGTGAAACAATTGTTGTAACACAATGCATGTAATACCAGGTACATTTTAATATTGATAGTTTTAAACAAATGTGTCAATAATTTAGCAATTCTCTTTCGAGCGCGACGATTTTATAATAAACCCTCGATTGATTTTCATGTGATGTGAATCACTCATGAACGTTTTCGTTCAGGGTTTGCCCTCCGAGAGCGCATGCTCCAAGACCCTACTCAGCTTGTGGAAATTCACCGCAACAACTCATTCCGAACGCCACTTAATACGAGTGCCAAAACAATCCCTTCATCTCTGGGACGCAGACGCTGGCGAGATCAGATTATCACGGCCAGACACGCAGCTGGCAAGTTTGGCAACCCAGAGCAAAACAATCAGATGTCGTATGTTGAACTCGGACAGTCTTGAGACCGAATACTCTGCGCGTATATACAATCCAAAAATTCCATGGAGTACCACGCGTTTTTGACACGTCATATCGGGACAGAGTAAAACGCATGCCAGACCTGTTTGTCGCCAGTCATGACATGTATCAATTAAGAAGTAATGATCGAAAACTTTTAGTCTTCCAGCTGAAATTGTCGATGTATACGACCAACTTTCTTTTTATTCTTTTAAAACTTTAAGAAATCATCACTACAAGGACTTGGAGGGAAATACATCGATAACTTAATTAACATAATTCTCTTTTGTTATAATAGCTGTAAAAAGATAGTAAGTGTTTTGTATTTCTAACCAATGTATATATGTATTCATAAACGGCCCCTTGAAAATCAGTTTTTCTTTACCGCTGAAGGGCTACCGTTTTCAAATAATTTTAAATAATAATAATAATAACAGAGTGCATCCGCGCTGCAACACAGATGCTATTCGAAGCGAAGGAGGTTTTTCTACAAGTTGACAAGGATCTTCGTACGATGGACGAAGACTCGTAAATATCTTCTCAGAAAACTTGGAGGGCATAAAAGAAAACTTTGCGGAAAAGCTTGCGTCCCACGGTTTCACCCTTTCATATGATTTCGCATTGAAGGTATGAATGAATTTCGTACAAAATCATGGTCAGTAATAGATTCTGTTTCAAAATTAGTGAATGAGAGGTGAGAAGGTAATAGTAATACCATCAGACGTCGTATGTTGAACTCAGACAGTCTTGAGACCGAATGCTCCGTGCGTATACACAAACAATCCGAAAATTCCATGGAGTGGCGAATCAGATGACGATGTTCCTAAATGGCCATGTTCCAATCTTCCCCACTGTTTCGAGAAGCAGAGTTAGGCTGTGGTTAAGAAACTCTAAAATCGAAACGCTATACCCAACCCCTGACGAAAGGCGTGTTTTTAAAGAGGCAAATCCTC